ACACAGTTAAGCAGTGAGTACAGTATGTTATTCTTCTTTTCTCTAGTCCCTCAATTAAACAACTTTTATACTCGAGGGGAGGAGTCAGCCGGCCGTCCGGGCGATGTAAACAAACTGAAGATAGGACTCTGAAAACTCTGAAAGCATCACAGACAGTGGGACTCGGGTGTTACACCCATTGTAGACAGTCATGACTCACAGAGTTATTTTCAGAGGAGATACTTGATTCTGCTACATTGAAGTGTGAAAAATCACATAGAAATCCTTTAATGAAATCGTAAACATTGTAAAAGGAGGATTTTATCGCCCTGGTTTTGCTACACACTATCAGCTTTTATAGCTCACAGTGCTAGCTAACATTGCTATTCCTGGTTTAGCGTGAACATCAAATTTGAAGGTTGATGCAAAGCAGCTGCTCACATGAAAGTTAACCTACGTCAGAATATCACTTGATCAGTGTGAGCGTATCATGACCTCACCCTGTGGAGATAAGCGTGTCAGTGTGCAGACTAAGGCTGACCTCAGGTCTGTGTCTCTCAGACAGAAGGCCACCTGCGCTACAGATAAGACCAGGCCTCGTTACAAGGATGTGATTCACATAAAGCACCAAGGCCTGCTGTCAAAAACGATGAGTAATATGAGACGATGAAAGCGTGTTTTTTTTTTAAATCTGAGAATGTGTGAAATAAATCAAATCACTTTTTTAGTGTGGTTTGGAAACAGATAAAACGCGACCTCAGGAGAAGGATCAGAAGGTTTAGTCTTGAAAGCCACACTGTGAGCATGGCATGCTCTGTTTCAAATGATCTAAAAGACTAGCTGTAAAAGCTGCAGCCTTGATTCTTGTTGCAGCTGAAAGCTCAGACTTCTGCCTTTCACCCTGAACTGTAATGCATGGTAAAAAAAAACAACTGCAAAACAACAAAAAGAAGCTCTAATCTGTCCATTTGCATGATTATCCTCAAAATGAAACGAACCAAAAAACATCATAGCTGGAGTATAATATAAGAAACTTCAACAAATGACATCACCATAATCAAAAATATCAAAAAACAAACTGTATTTCCAGTGCGGATGTAACAATCAAAACATAATTCAACTCCTTTAAGAAAAAGCGTTTGGATAGGTTTTTGTTTAATTTGTAAAATGTTCATAATCCAATCAAACACAAGTTGATTTCAAAACTGAAAACGGCGATTATTTAGTGACTAACATGACCTGAGTTAACGTCGAGATATAACATCACAGTAAGCGTAATGATCTTTGTATGCATTGACTGACTGATTTCTATGGCAGAGCTCAAAGACATGATGTCATCCCTTATGTTTAAATTTCAATCTAGAATCGGATTAAGTCCTGATGAGAAACCTCTCTACTTTAAAAGATTAAACTGTTGGCTTAAACGTCTCTTTCTGTTCTCTGGCGATAACGTAAACTTAGTCGTCAGTCGAACATCATCGTAAACACCTTCAAAAGAATGCATGAAACGTTCTGTAACTTTGTTAAGTTGGTGTCGTTTCTGCTCTTTTTAATGTACCACATGTCAGAGCTGGCCTGCAGAATGAAAGCTTTGTTTAATCTGTATCATAACAGTGTGTGTGTGCTGCATATATGTGATGACATGATGTACCTGAACGGGCCCAAAGCAGCATGTAAGACTTTATTTATTCAGACCCTTCCAAAGAGCTTCACAGAAACAAAAGAATTATCTGAAGTGACTCAGAAAGCTTTGTAAAGTTTAGGTTTTAGTTGTAAGAGTAAAAAAGGAGAAAGAGGATTTCCATATGTGGGTGAGAGGAGAGGGAGATGTGAAAACAAAGACCCTGCCTGAGGTTAAAGGGACAAGAGGGACAATGACTAGAAGGTACTTATTGAAGTTTTGGGATTATTTGGCACCTTCACAAACCACAGTCCTGTCAAATCTGAACATACACAACTTTTTTTTCTATCCATTATTTTTTCCTGCTTTTCCCGCTCGGGTCACGGGGGCCTGGAGCCGATCTCAGCTGTCACTGGGTGAGAGGTGGGGTTACACCCTGGACTGTACGCCAGTCAGTCACAGACATATAGAGACAGACAACCAGAGAAACTCACATTCACACCTACAGGCTATTTAGAGTCATTTAACCTGAGGAAGCCAAAGTACCCTGAGAGAACCTACACATGCACAGTGAGAACATACAAACTCCACACAGAGGGGCTCCTGTGCAACAGGGATTTGAACCTGGAACATCCTTGCTGTGAGGCAACAGCGCTAACCACTGCACTGTGCAGCCCACACATTTTTCAGGAAGATTTATTTGAGGCGTTTTACCTTTATTAGATAGGACAGTGACATCAGGAGAGAGAGAGCGGGGAACGCCACACGGGAAAGGGGTCAGACTTGAACCCTGACCACACGCTTGAGGACTAAAGCCTCCGTAAAGGGGGTGCGACCTAACCACTAGGCCATCTGGGCACCTAAATCTGAACATAGAGTTGACAGATCTGAATCTGCCTGAAGAATCAATTCTTCAGGCTTTGTCAAGTCAACATCACAAAGTAAGACGAGCAATATTAAGACACAGACACACTCAGGATGAGAGTCGACCTGCTCTTTAATCGGACCAATCAGAGGCAGAGCTGGACAACCGTGTCTGATATTCCCGATAGGCAGACAAAACATGCCTCCATAGAAAGTGGAAAAGAAAATTAGAAATAATTAGGAACAAACACATCTACAGCTGAGCTAAATATACATCGTGAGTCACACTAATATTTAAAAAAGTTCATATAACCTACAATATATTGCTATATATAATTTACTGTAAACTACTTTTTTTTAGCTCTTAGCTCCAAAACGTGGGCCGTCATTCTCCCCCAAACAGAAGAAAGATAAATTGCCACTGAGTTTGTCAACAGTGTGAAACTTGCCAAACCACAGGATGAAGCGGTGTGTATCCTGAATCTTCTTTAATATTTCCCCTCCTTCCTGTATATCCACAAGGATTCTGTCACCATGTTTGTGTAAAGATGTTGTCCTTTGACAGCTTCAGCCAACACACACTCCATCACCTTCCACCTCCGCCGTCTGAACCCGTTCCCGGCAGTGATCACCTCGCAGTTTCCTGTTTTCTGTCGTCCTTCCTTCCTGTTCTGTTTCACATCTGGCTCTGACGCTTCTTTAAGTCAAACAGAGTTATGAGTTATGAGACGGGTTTTTTTGGGGGGCTTTCCGTCCCATTATTGTTTAAACTTAACTCAACTTTATTTATGAAGTACCTTTCAAACGTACAAGCACGCATCCTGGAGTGGATGCGTACCATCCTGGTACTCTCAGGGTGGAGAACATGAGATGATTACTTTGTGCCTGTCTGATTATGGTTTGTTCTAATGTACCTGTACTGTCCTCTACCTGTGCAGCTGGCAGTAAAATCTGTTCTAATCTCATCTCAGGCTGTCAGATTAAAAGCCCTTTGCGGATCACTAATAAACTCTATCGCAAGTTTCATTTAAATAATAAAAAGACCAAAGTTAGTCATGTGCAGCAAACATTTTTAAGACAATTTGCTCAGTCTGTAGGGACTTGTGCTGGGAACTCGAGGGTCGCCGGTTCAAGTCCCAGTGCGGACCAAAGATGCAGTGCACCACCTGAGTATTGCCGAGGTGCCCTTGAGCAAGAGCTCGAATCCCCAACCGCTCAGTGTGTAGCAGCCCCACTCTGACTTCTCTCCACTAATGCATGTCCACAGGTCCTGTTTATGCATTTTTTTTAAATAACAGAGTGTAAAGCAGAATCTTTCCTCAGGGACTAATAAAGTATTTCAAAATCAAAGAAGTCAAAAAGAGATTTTGCAAAGCTTTTCAAAGTGATTTTATCCCTCCTGGATTTCTGATCTTTCCAACTTTATTCAACTTTCACTACAGACCATGAATACACATTTTTAAACTGATTCCAGACTACGACTGATTTCTCCTTTATCTTGTAAGTCTGATTAATGCTGCTCTTTTTTTTTAAAATTGCTCAAATTGAGCCTATTTCTTCAAGTGTGGCCATTTGAGACCACATGTGGTTTGAAGTGTGTCCACCTGTAAGCCTGATAATCGCTGACAAATAAGACTGCTGTGTTTTCTGAGTCAGCGTCTCCTGTCCACCTCACTGCTTTAGTCACACAGCTGTTTCTGGAATGAGTCTGTGCGTCCCTCATAGTCCAGCAGAATTAAGACAAATCCCAGACGCTCCTGTCTTCTTATCCCTCCTCTCTGTTGTTGTGGATACCACTCAGATATGTTTTACAGAAACCGCTCCTCTGCCGGTTATGAGTGTGTGTTTGTGAACATTAGAAAACCACACATTCCTAGATAAATCATCCAATTAGAAAAAATGACTCACAGACACATAACTCACTCATAACACCGCATGGTTAATATCCAAACATGACACGTATGCTGCCCAGCTGATTCATTGTGTGGTGTAAGCATGTGTGTGCATGCATCTGCTGAAAGGATGCACATGTAGCTGAGTTGCTTATTCACTCTGGAGTGACGCAGGGACAGGAGGGTGGGGGTTATAAGCCTACACACAAACACACACACATATATAGAGCTCAGATTGGGATGCTCCTGCAGGAGGATTACGAGAGTGAACCTGTGAGTTCAATCTGCGCCTGCCTGCTAATACCTGCTAAACATGTTTGCAGCGGCCGGCTCCACTCTCTTCTGCTAATACCGCGTGTAAATACACGAGTCATCAGCATAGAGAGAAACAATGCATTTGTTGTTTTAGGAGGCTGTCACTGTTTTTACTCCAAACTTTTAAAAGGAAGTTCTTGTTTTAGTGCTGGATCTGGTTCTTGAAATAGAGAGACAAGTTGTGACTATAAATTAGCAACATGCCAATATGCTTCTGGACATCAACGGTAAAATGGTGAGACGCGCTTCATGTGTTTTTTTTATGTGATTTTTGTTTGATTTTCATGTGTTTGTGACAGTTGTTTAAATGTAGTCTCATGTCTTTGCAGGTTTCCTCTACAGAAGAATGTGTTGGACCAATGAGGCTGACTCAGGAGCCGATTCAGGTAAGAACAGAGATGACTGTGGGAAATCTTTCATCCTGTGTTTTAGGGACTTTGCATGAAATACATCCTCTATTTCTTTTTATACAATCAGTTGGATTGTGTTTGGTTATGCTAAGTTTTAACCTGTATTTTATGAATGTTGGTTTTGCAACTACAATCATTTTCATTGTGAGAATAGTTGGTGTAATTTATCAATGCATATTTTAATCTAGTGTCAAAAATAAGGCCCATTGCAACGTTGCAAAGTCTTAAGTTGCAAGGTCTGATCAGATCCATCTTATTTTTTGCCTGAAAAAGTGACTATTGTCCCTCTAATTGTTCAACCAATTGTTCAGGCTCTATTCCTGATAATATTTTCCGTCAGGTCCTGAGTGTTTGAGGGTTATCTATATTTTCAAGGTTCTCTTTGTCCGTGTTATTCAATGCATTTTTTTAAAGGTTTATTTTTGGGGCCTTTTATGACTTAATCTAGTGTTGTAGTACTCGAAAATCGGTCTATGTCTCAAGACTTGGTCTCGAGACCACTTGTTGAATGTCTGTGTCTCTTCTCAGAATCAAAAGCATTTTTTCTGGGTCTTGTCTCAGGCCGTGCAGACTCTGGATTTTAAATCAAGTCCAGCCATGACCACCCCTGAAAGGCTATTTTGTAACATCATTACTGTGATTAGAAGGAAAAATCCCTCTTTAAAAGAACAGATAACTTCAGTTCATTCATAATTAAATTTTTATACCCAAAGGCCGCAACCTTCCTGGTGTTACGGTCTAAGTGAGTGATAATTTTTCAGTGATATTTATGGTCTTGTCTCAGTCTTGGCCTTGCTCTGCTTTGGTCTTGGTCTTGGCTCCATCTCGTAGCACTCGGGCATTCGGGTATGTCTTGGTCTCAGTTCATGCAGTCTTGACTACAACACTACCTTAATCTAGGGAAAGGACTTTGGATACAGTCAGATATCGGGGGGGGGGAGAGAGTTGGGAGTGACATGCGGGAAGGGCATGTCACAGGCATCCTGATTGGAGGACCAGCCTCTGGGGGCGCGCACACTAACCACTAGGCTACTGGCGCACTGTTATTCAAATCAAAACAATTCACTAATTTACCATCTTTTAAATCTATTTATATTTTTGGCCTGATATGTAATTTTAATAATCTGTTTTGCTATATTTGGGTCATGTTGTTATAGTCTGCAAATATAATCTCTACTGGAACAAGCAGCCTAAATCACAGAAACACATGACATGACAACGTTACTCTTCACATTATGAAATCATCCTTTTAAGAATATTTCTCAAAGCTTGTTCTGTGTTGTTTTTAAAATAATACAAACGCAGAACAGATTTGAATTCTCTCTCTCTCTTCTCTGAGCCAAAAAAACATGAATCATCCTGAAAGCATAAATTACACTCTACGACCTACTTCCTGATCCGAGCACACTTTCATTATTGTCATTATTATTATTCAAGGCTTTGGGAGAACATTAAATTCATGTGAAATGTTTTCGTCAGACACCTTGTTTGTGTCTCTGAAGTGTCAGACGTGCTGAAGTCTGGTCTTGCTGGTCAGGACCTTGTGAGTAATACTGGAGGATGAGGCAGGGTTGAGTCAGGGATTGAGTGCGCTCATCCTCTGGTGAGGGGATTAGGACATGTGCGCCTCAGATTTATCCTTATGCAACAAAGAAACAGAGAGTTCCTGGAGGTTATCAGCTGGCTGAGTCACAGGTAAACCTCCCTGCATTCCTCTGTCCTGCAAGTTTTTACCTCAGAAGTGATCTCATTATGAGATGCATTTTATTAAATGACTTTTTAAATATTGACAGTTTTCTCACAGAGGCCTTTTTCTTTTGAAATCACATTCGGAGTGGGAAAGCTCATCATCTTGTAGATAACTATAAATATGAACAAGGGAATCTGAATTAAAAAAAGTCACAATTAAGTGCTCAGTGATTGAATAACAGTTGACAAGACAACAATCTGTGAAAAATCATGAGGGAAATCTGGTCATATTTCAAGTTAATAACAATATATTTTAACCCATTTTCCACATCATTACTGTGATTAGAACCTAAACCGCTCTTTCTAAAAGAACACATAACTTATTCATAACTTGAAACACAAGATGATGTTTTTTTCCTTGGTCATCTTGGTCTTGTCTCGATCCCTGAATGTCTTGGTCTAGTCTCGATCCCTAAATGTCTTGGTCTTTACTCGGTCTCGATCCCTAAATGTCTTGGTCTTGTCTCGGTCTCGATCCCTAAATGTCTTGGTCTTTACTCGGTCTCGATCCCTAAATGTCTTGGTCTTTACTCGGTCTCGATCCCTAAATGTCTTGGTCTTGTCTCGATCCCTAAATGTCTTGGTCTTGTCTCGATCCCTAAATGTCTTGGTCTTGTCTCGGTCTCGGAGTACTCTGGTCTCGGGTATGTCTTGGTCTTGTTGGTGTTGTCTTGACTACAACACTTCTAGAAACAAAGAACCAGTCAAAGCACTTCTGAGATGATGTACATTTAGCCAGCTACAACAAATGGAAAACACACTTCCTAGCTAATGTGGTTTTAGCTTCATTTTCAGCCGTGCTGGTTTGACTTATGTCCAAGTGTTCTGCTCAAGCACGGTGACGTTAGAGGCCCGGCATGCTACTTATGTTCAAGTTACAGTATCCTTATGCAGCATGCCAAATAACATCACTCCAGGAATCTGAGGCAGCATGCAGGCAGGTGGAGAGAGAGCACATTTTTGATTAAAAAGCTTTCTAAGAGCTTGTCTCATGCCTAATAAAACCCTTGAACTACCCGCACAGAGAACAGCCCAGAAAAGCTGCACCTTCAGCTCTCTGCTGGATCCGCTGCCAAACCCACCGCTCTCCTGTTCCTCGACTTTTTCTGGAGCGGGAAGATGAAAAGAGGGAGATAAAATGCTCTGCAGGAGAAAGTTATGAGTTCCCCTTGACATTAACTGTTACTGCCTCTCAGTCCTGCGGTGTTTCAACCTCTGCAGAAAACTGTACGTCCTCGCTCATTAATGAAGCATATCATTCACTCATTACGGGGATAATAAGGTTAGAAGGTTAAGTAGCACACATGCTTTTTCTTAAAATATTTCTCCTCTGTGTAACTGCAGTTTTATTAACACTTTTTTTCATACACGCTTAAAAGTTTGAGTACTCACTTTTTTCTTGCAGCATGCATGCCATATGAAGAGATTCAACAGGCTGACAGTACTTAGAAAAGTTGATATAAATAGACATTTATGGGTCAGTTGATTTGTAGGGTCACAGATAATTCATTGGCAAAAGACTGAGCTGTCTAGTAGTTGAAGTAGCTTTTCATGCAATCAAAAATGCCACAAATACACTGGTTCAGTTTGTGAACTTGTCTCCTCCAAGATGCACAAACACGACAAATCTTTGGCTTTTCTGCTTCAAAATGACTTAAACCAATTATCATGACCAAAACAACTGAATATTTTCTGCACACATAAAAGTTGTACAATGCATTCCTTTAAAAAAAAAGATTTTTTTTTACTCGTATTTTATAACGTTCAGTGAAACAGACATTAAGGAAGAAGAAACAGTAAAAAACTGGTGAATTTTGCAAATACTTAAAGGCATTTACAACAAAATTCTTGCACATAAACATTTTACTGACAGATGGATCTGATCAAAAATTGGATGGTGAAAAATGTGCAAGTTGGTTTTGTGTTTAAATACAAAAACAAAACCAGCCCCACAAATGTGTCCTCATACACACACTCAATGAATTGAATCAGTCAGTCTTTACTTGTATAGCGCCAATTCATAACAAATAGAATCTCAAAACCCTGAGTCTAGACCGTACTCTCTGCTGTATTATTTACAGAGACCTAACATTTATCCACCATGAGCACAGCACTGAGCAACATTTAGCAAAGATACAGTGGGAGGGAAAAACCTCCTTTTTACCAGGCAGAACCCTCGAGCGTCTGCCTGCTGAGACGGCTTTAGTCTTAAGGAAAGAGATGGAATGAGACAAACCAACAGAGAAACAACAACAACCATTAAAACAGATGTATGGCTACAACGCCAGTAATAATGGTTGAGTGTTGAGTATGAGTGTTATTAGAAGGAAAAGCAAAGTATGATAATCCTCTGATGTGTCTAATTAACAAGTACATTAACAAGTACAAGTACAATGGCCAGGAAATGGTAAGGACTGATAGTGTATCAGTCCTCAGTATTATAGTATAATAATGTTAGTAGATGATGACAGATTGATATTATTAGTTGCAGTTGGAGTCAGGCCGGTCCACAGCAGCAGGCAGTCTGCAGGAAATGTTACACCCCAAAACAAAACCAGTGCTTAAAGCTGGTTAGCCCCTCTCTCTCTCTCTCTCTCTCTCTCTCTGTGTTTGGGAACCTCTCAGCGTCTGATGGCGTCTGTCCTGACTGTGCAAACACGGCAGATTAACCTCTGAACTCCTCTGAAATGTGAGCCAACAGGCAGGCAACAGTCACAAATAAGTCACTTACACACTGCAGTGCTTTCAAAGGGTTGTCACAATACAAGAATATAAATCCATATCACTGTATACATAATATACATCTGTACGTCACAATGATATTGATACCTGTGTAGATGTGACGGCAACTAAGATAGAGGTCCTTTAGGCACCCGGTATTGGGTCAATTCTCAAAAGCACAGGAATACTCATACTGCATACTAAAATCTCTCTCGCTGTAGTTGCTAAAGCTTTTAGTTGAAACTATTGCTGAAGTTTCTAAGTTTTTTCTTCATGTTTCTGTACTTTTTGACGCTACCAATCATTAAAAAAAAACAGACATTGTGTTGTTTGTGTCAAAAGGTGTTGAACTTATGACAACCTTTTGCTAAATTCACAAATATAAGAATTCAAATCGTGAAGTCTATTTACTTTGAAGATGCTATAGCAGGTTCATTGTGTTAACCGAGATTTATATGTGTTTCATTAAAAGTGAGTAACGGTTGAGGCAGTGTGTGTTTAAGACAGATGTGATGTTGGTGTGATGGATTGCAGACTTTTTCAGATGTTTGACTGTGCAGATATTTCATGTTTTGTTCTTTTAATGATTTATTTTTGGCCTTTTTACACCTTTATTTTAAAGACAGGACAGTGGATAGATTCATACACAGAGGAGAGAGAGAGAGTGGGGAGGACATGTGGGAAAGGAGCCACATGTCGGATTAGATCCCGGGCTGCTTGCTCTCGAGGACTTAAGCCTCTGTACATGGGTAGAGCGCTCTAACCTCTAGGGCGATCTGCGCCTCCTTTTTTCATGGGTTCTTAAGACCAACAGCGCCGCCTTACAGGCTCATCCTTGGTGACATGTTTAGGGCGGCAGGTAAGAGATGTGTGCGGTTTTGCAGCGTCGTCATCTGGGTGCTGTGTGTGTGGAATTTCACATGTCAGCACCATGGTTACACAAAGCTGCACTGGATCAAAGAGTGTGGACCTTTCACAGACACCCACCAATGCTCCGTCACTTTCTGTTCCCACCTGGTCTTTTCCACTCTGCATTTTTCTGTACAGCTACACCAGAAAATAAAGATAACGTACGATAATGTATGCTCCTGATTTTAAAAAGCATACAGGAAGCATTTTAAGCCCTCATAATTGACTGTTTATCGTCATGAACATTTGCTTTTGTCTCATTCCGTTGAAGCTAAAAAAAAAAAAACGAGACCAGCGCTGACATACTGCTCTGGTGACATTTTTCAGAGCCAAGACATGAACATGAAGGGATCTGGCTGGTGCACCCACAGAATTGACACCACAGCCAGTTCTCCAACCAAAGCACCAGTTAATATACTCATAAAAACATCAAAGATCCCTCAGGTCGGTTTACAGTCTTCAGCAGAACAGATTCTTGTCAGATTTTTGTTTTTGGGCTTTTTGTGCCTTTAGTAGAGAGATGGTACAGTGGATAGAGTCAAAAAATCAGGGAGAGAGAGAGTGGTGAATGACATGCGGGAAAGGAGCCACAGGCCGGACTCGAACCCGGGCCGCCCGCTCAGAAGACCACAGCCTCCACACATGGGGCGCGTGCACCAATCACTGCGCCTCAATTCTTGTGTCAGTTTGAAGCAGAGACTCTCGTTTGTGGAAATTTCAACGACCGTATTGTTGTTGGTTTTTTCTTTTTCTCTCGCTTGTCCTCCTCTAGTCTGCTAATCGGGTTGAGAGCGCTTTAAGGAGTCAACAGAGCTGCCAATCCCGACGTTACAGCCGCTCTTTTTTTTTCATCAAATACCTAATTAAAACAACAACACTTGGAAAAATGAGCACTTGGACATAGATCAGCAATAGGGATGTAACGATTCACTCAACTCCCGATACGATTCTCTAAACATTTATTTTACAAAATGAAAGACAAATTATGACTGGGAAAGATTCCTTTAGGGGCTGATTAAATGCTGCATCATGTTGGTCGGGCTGTTTGTGTAGTTCCCCGTCTTCTTGCAATATTTGGACACAGTTTTTGTCTCGTCTGTTTTCTTCTCACCTCTTTCATTTTCTGTCTCGGGTAAAGCCAAAATGCTTCCACACCTCCGATTTTAAAAGACGGTGGTGCATCCTCAATTTCTAAATCTTTGCTCTGCAGCTGCTGACGCTCACCGTATTATTGAGATTCATATTTCAGAGTACCGATGTGAATCTTTACATCCCTCATCAGCGTGATAACTATCACAACAGATTCCGGGTTTGACAAACAGTTATTGGAAGTGTATTTGAACTTTTATAGTTTGCCCCAGGCGGGGCTTATCAGCTATACTGCAGCAAGCCAGCAGGGGAGCTATAAATATGTTGGCTTCACTCTCAGACAGCTGTTTCTCCGTCACCCTAATACACAATCGGTCCTCACTCAGTTTTTCTCCCCCCCCCCCCCCAGCCTCTCGATCCTTTGTTGTCTTTGCTCGGAGTCAGGAGGTGAAGCTGAGAGCTGAGTGTTGTTACTTCTGGCTGCAGACCAGCTGCTCTTTTGTCTCATCTCTTCTCTATGTGTATCTTTTACAGTGTTGTGTTTTCAGTGCTGTACTCAAAGGTTAGCGGTGTGTTCAGGGTCAGAACGCAGTGTGGGATCAAAAACACGAGTCCGCTGGTGTGAATTAGCTGTCATCAGTGATTAGGCAGGCGTATATACAAGTATGCAAAGACAGGAGCCCTGCATACTCAGGTTGGGAGACCGTAACGGGAGGGGAAGTCAGATGCATGAACACACTTTAAATTAGGGACAGATCGTAGTGGTCGAAGCCCCTGAGCTGTTTTTGTCAAGTCAATGCTGTGGGAGGTAATCCACAGAGGAACTACCCAAAGAAAAGGAGAAGGGCAAATCCTCCCTGAGGCGTTTGGTGTCTTTTTCTAAATTTAGAAAAGTTAAAATAAACCTTGTGAGGTTCCAGTTAAAAACTTATATAAGAGATTAAACTCAATAAAAGCTTGTGTTGTCTAGTCTAGAATCACATCAGGCCTTGTTTGCGTTACCAGTAATTTAACTAAAAGGGGTGGGAGTATTTATCCATTTTCAACAGTGTTATTTTTATTACTCTGAATGTATTTTTGATTGATAGCTTTAGTTACGCCCTTTTAAATGGATTTACTGATATTCCATCAGGGAGGTCATGATGTCTGCATGCCCTCTTCCGTCTTGTAATGTGTTCTTAATTTGTGGATATTTTTCCATCTTTTTTTCTCTGTTCTCTGTGTTTCTCTTGTGGACATTTTGTGCTCGACTTTTTACACACTGATGTTGAACGGAAGAAACTTTTAACCGGAAAAAGATGCAAAATGTTTTTATTTTGTGTGATTATGCAGTGACAGAGGTTGAAAGAATTAAGGATTTTTTAATTTTTATCAGTAAATATTTCTATCAATCAAAACACTTAAAGAAATGAATGAAGAAAAATAAAGACACTACAGGTTTAGATTCATAATACAGCTCTGCCTCACTCGGTCGTTGTTCCCTCTCTTCAGGTCCTGCTGGTTTTCGCCAAAGAGGACAGTCAGAGCGACGCCTTCTGGGGCCTGCGACCGCGCTGGATTCAGGTGCAACATCGCACGGACGCCCGAGTCCGCTGTGGAGTGTTTCCTGGACAAACACCACGAGATTATCGTCATCGATGGACGCCACTCGCGCTACTTTGAGCCTGAAGCTGTGTGCAGGTGAGCCTTACCTGTGTGACTGCTCTCACTGCGTCAGTGTGACTGTTTCTTATTTCTTCTTTGACCGACTAAATGGACAAAAAAGATTCCTTAAAGAGATTGTTGCAAAGTTGGGAAAATATGATATTTTTTCTCTGACGTTTATGAGACAAATGTCACGCTTATGTATCTTGAAATTAAAGGAAGAATGTGCAACATTTTACATATAAATACAGCAGAAACTGAGTACAAGTAAATATCTCTCTGCGTCATGATTTTCTACAATTATTAAGAAGCTTGAGTCTCGCTGGCTGTGTTGTTGTCAGAGCCGGGTTTACATCCCCTTGGTTTTAAAAGCTGTTTTAGTCAAGGACCAGATAAATAAGAATAACATGCTCACTGATTATTTGGGTGTCACGTTAGCATTTTTAGATCACGGCCATTCTGTGTCAGCAATGTGAAGCTGCGAGATAACTAAAAAGCTAACATTAGCATGCTAACACAACAATGCAAGTCACAGGCGATTGCAGCTCGAGCAATTTCGACGGGAGGGGAGGGGGGTTGGAGGTGTGTCGCTGGAGGAGAGCTGAGGCATCAGCCAAACAGCAGTTTGTTTTGGTTCCTACCTTTAAGTTTAGTTTGGGGGAAACTGCTGGAGCACTGGTTGGCGCCCTCTGATGTTCAGTGGAAGAACACTTGAAATGTACAACCTGATTTTTAACACTGTAACCTACTTCAGGTTTTTGGTTTTCTAACAAAAAGAAGAAAAAAATATATTAAGCGACATTTAAGTGAGCCTAAAACATAAATTGTCACTTTGTTTCTTTATTATTTATGTATTTATTGTCTCTCTTTCCCATTCTCCACTGCAAAAGGCTCTGGCCACTTCAGGAAACCTCTTTGACTCTTGAAACACATTTTCTTGATTTCACACTGGTGACACTGGGATTCTAGTTTTGTCTTAATTTCAGGCGTTTGAAGACTTAACAGGAACCACTGTCTTCAACTCAGAACACATGTGTACATCCTTCACTGTGTTCCCTTTTTCTTGTGTGGCTTTGTGGCTGAACCTCTGCAGCAGATGTGTGTGTGTTTGGCGTCTCTGTGTAAAGTGCTGAAACGTTCCCGCCCTTCTTCTGTGGCCATGACTTTAATCTCCAACCTGCCCACATGTTTATCCAGCACCTGAGTCCAAACCGCTTCTCATGGGGGGTCAAATTGTGAATGAAATGAACTCCTGCTGACTTTTTAATCCACTTGTTTTTATTTCCAGGTTGATCAGAGCCACAAAGCCTTCTGAGAACACCGTTATTCTCGCTATTGTGCCACAAAAGTAAGTTTGATTTGACTTGTTATTTGTTCTCCTCTGTTTTCTAGTTTTATATGTGACTTCAAATCGAATGTCTGTACCAGTCACAAGGATGTTTCCTTAAAAAAAAAAAAAAAGACTTGGTTTGTGGATTGTGACGACTCTTTTCTCTTATTTTAAAGAGTGGCAGACCAGGACGAGCCGTCTGTTCTTCCTCTCCTCTGTGCTGGATTCAGCAGGGTACGTACAACCTGTGGCTGTGTTTCAAAAACAGAGTGAACGTGTCATCATTGTCTCTGAAAGAGGCTTTTATTGAGGCCTCTAAGTGACTGCAGACGCTCAAATAGCAGCACGTTAACTCTTCTGAAAGAGGCTCCGATTATCGGCGGTGTTTGAAGGTGTGAAAATGACGTCAGAGTTTACAGAGCAAGCGGCTGCTGAGTACATTCTGACTCATTTCTCTCTCTCTCTCTCTCTCTCTCTCTCTTGTCACTTGACCTCGTTCCGCCTGCAGAGGTTTGTGGAGAACAGCAGTGTGTCGGCCTGCTACAATGAGCTCATTCAGATTGAGCACGGGGAGGTGCGCTGTCAGTTCAAACTGAGGTAAAGTCAAAGATACCCACGTTAATAAAATCACACATTACAGACAGTGAAGTGCATGGACTGACATTTATAAACCCGTCTGCAGGGCCTGTAACTCTGTGTTCACCGCTCTGGAGAACTGTCAAGAGGCTGTGGAGATCACCAGCGAGGACCACATAATACAGGTAGAGATAACCCACACACACACACACACACACACACACACACACACAGAGTCACACACACAGACATGCAGATGCATTAGACTAAAGCCAGATTCAGAAAACTCCTTAGCCCGTCTGTGGCTCCCCTAAAGATGTAAATCTGAAGAACCTGGTTAAGTAAGTATTTGGATGTATTCAGATTTTTTTCAATTTCAACAGAACTGCAGTTTTAAGGGGATCTAAAATAGTAAAAAGGTTGTTTGTTGGTGACACATTCAGCTGCAAAAATGTGATTTTCAAAGGAGTATGTAGCCCAGTTTACACATGCACTCGTGAAAATGTGCAGAACATATCAGCACAGCCTGTCCCTGAAGTCTTCCTGAGCTTCTCTTCAACACATGTCCCTCACAGCTGGGAGTTTTCCCTGGGGGACAGGGGGGGCGTCTCGGGAGGCACAGACATAATTTCAAATGCAGAAAAAATACGAAGGGGTCTGGCAGAAGAAACTCCGGGTAAAGTCAGAGTGAAAGATGTAGCTGCTTGCGTTCACAAGGTGCTTTAAATGCACGATCATGAGTCGTCTATCTGAAAGCTAAACACTGGCACAACACTGACCTGCTGTCATATTCCTGAGTCCATGTGACAGACCGTCTGAGCGTCCAGTCTCTACTGTATATTTTTCGTTGTTGAATGAATGCAGCTGACATCGTCTGTAAAAAGGAATGCTTTTCAGAGTCGGGTTTTGGTGTCAAGAGTTCAGAAAAAGGAATGAGTGTGAAGAGGAGTGTAAGGCCCGGCAGAAATGGAAGTATCAGGAGTTTTTCAGGAGTTTTTTTGCATGTTGTAAAGCCCTTTGTGGAAGTCACACTTTCATGGTTACAGCATATCCAAGATGGTGGACGAAGCAACAGAGTGCAACGCTGTATAGGTTATTGCCTTTATGTGTATGCTACGTTTAATTACTCGTAAATACTCATCACAACGAAGGAACATTTCACCGCAAAAAACGTGCAAAAAAAAACAAAACACTTATACAAAATCATCAGATAAACTGTGCAAAGCAACACAAATGAGTCCTTTTAGAAACGGTCTGATTGCTAGACTTAAACTTGAATATCTTCCTGTTTTTTTGTTTTTTTTTCGCAGTATGTAAATCCGGCGTTTGAGCGTATGATGGGCTACCACAAGGGGGAGCTGATGGGGAAGGAGCTGACTGAACTCCCCAAGAGCGACAAGAACAGAGCAGACCTGCTGGACACTATCAACACCTGCATCAAGAAAGGAAAGGTAAGAAGTGTAATCATTCACAGTTACCATCTGTGGAGTGAGAGAGTACTGCATCATGTCCTGAGTGTTTTTTGTTTTTTGCTTGTTTGTCTGTGAAGGAGTGGCAGGGTATTTACTTCGCTAGGAAGAAGGCAGGCGACAGCATCCAGCAGCATGTGAAGATAACACCCGTCGTCGGCCAAGGAGGGTGAGGTGTTTTTAAATCTACCAAAGAGGTCGATATCATTACCGAGATGTCCAAAGCGACTGACACACTCTCGTCTCTTATTACAGGAAGATTCGACATTTTGTAGCCATCAAGAGACCTCACATAGACAACAATAATCAGGTGAGTTAAATGATAATCTCATGTGTTACACAAGCCCTGATCAGTCTGCTGTTTTCACACAAGCGTCGTAACTAAGCTCAGCTGTTCATATTGATTCTGTGACGACGTTGTAGAAGCACGGCACAGCTTCACATACACACACAGTCAGACATGCACACACACACACACACACACAGCGCTGTGCTCCCCCCGCTGAGTCAGCTGAAAGTGTCTCACCTCTGTTAATACCTCCCCTCATTATGCTCATTAGGACATTCCCATTGAAAGCTAAACGTCACCGGGGCGTACAAATCACATCTTGTAGCAGCAGTCCGAGTAGGGCTGCAGATACCCGAGCGTCCTTACAAAAGTCTGAATGTTGTTCTTTTGTTGGGTTCAATCATCAGCACTCTAAAAAACCCTGAAGGCCTTTTTAGTAGTGCTTCTTGAAAGAGGTTACGTCACAGCCTTTTCCCTCCAGAGCGGCTGTCTGAATCGAATACACATTGATCAATACCACTTAGTGAAGGCTTCCACTAATGAAGTTTGACGCTCCAACGATTCTCTCCACACCAAAAAAAATCCAAACCACCACCACGTCCCAAGTTTTTTTTTTTTTTTGTGATCAAATATTTATTGTTTTGTTTCTTTCAATATGGGTAGGCAGGAGGTGATTACATGAGTTCCATTGAGCAGAACAAGTACCTACAAGATGAAAAAAAAACATAATAAAAATAAATACATTTTTAGATAAAAACAGTCAAAATAACAGCACCGTAAAAAGACAAAATAAAATGGATAAAAAAAAATGAAAATGAAATGAATAATAATAAAACAGACAGACTAAATCTCCCAGCCCCATTAGCACACAGCCCAGGGATCCCCTAACACATCTGAATATGAACAACACCATTAAAGCAAGCAAAGGTTACTAGGATCGTCCAAAGTTTGAACTGTTTACTTGGACAACTAAAAACACTGATAAAGAATTACCGTCCATTTCCAAAGAGCAAGATAAGTTTAAAAAAAAAAAAATATTAACAGAAATCTGTATGGCTCCTCTCTCTTGGTGTCTGAATGCAGCCCGATTCACCCAAACTCAGTTTGTGTTTGGAGAAACAATTACTGCTAAAAAAAAAAACCTTTTAATGTATTTCTTGTAATATAACTGGTGAAGCTTATTGAGTTGTTGAAATTAAACAAATCTCAATCCTGGTTGGCCCGATAAAGCCTGGTGTAAATTAGGTTTTAGGTGAAGATGACAAACTCTGCTGGAGTTTAATTTATTGGTTTATTTTGACAGTGAGCATGCACAACACAACACAGCTGTTGGGTCAGAAATAGCCATAAAGCTCCTTCACTGTGATTTCACATAAAAACAACATATTACAAAACTATATTACGTTCTCTTATGATCTTTAAATCTTCAAAATGAACCTCAGGCCGAGGTGTCAGATTGAAACCGCCTTGCAGATTTTCCAGCTTTGTTGTTCAGCAGCGTGCACGCTTTGCTCCTGATGCAGGTGTGTGTCGCTGCTCTCAGCTGGGTTCTAGGCCAATAACGTCATACTATGCTAAGCTACGGCTAAACCCCCCAGGATCCCCCGCTAAGGCCTGCGAGGGCTAACAGCCAGACGCCAGATCTATTTATACTCGAACAAAGCTGCGCCGAGAGCGAGCTTTAGCTCACCGCTCGCTTTCATGGTGTGTGCACAGGGTGAGTCAGCCGCTGGCGTCTGCCTGCCAAAGCCTCATTCCTGCTCGTTTGGAGCGGGAAACCCTTCGACATGGAAGAGACTGATCCCATTCCCGAAAGTCATACCCACAACCTGAGACGATGTGCGCTGTCAGACTAAACAGAATGATCAAAGTGTTCTCTTTTTCTAAAGCCTTTTTAGCACACATAACAGATGCAGTGTAGACATAAAGGTGGACTATTTGATGACCCTCGACCACACAGGGCTCTGCAGCATGACAAGGATCTGATATTGTGTTGAACATTTTCATCTGGGCATTTTAAAACACTCTTCCTCCCACTCAGACGTTTGGCTGTAGCACACAGTTTCCATCACATTGTGCTGTTTTGTAACGCAGCTTTTTGTCTAAGCAGGTTTACGGCCACTTGTCTTTTTCTCTTCAATGGAATCTCAAGCTTTAGTCAAGTTAATGCCAAAGATATTTTTAAAGACGTTTGTTTGAGTTCGCAGCCCCGCAAGGAAAAAGTAGTTGTAGCCAGGGTCAATCAGGCGCCCTTATTTGTCTACATGAGTGTTTATACTGCCTTAATCCTATTTACTGAGAATGGGACGCGCTGCAAAGACGAGAGACACATTTTAAAGGGGCAGCAGAGTGAGAAAGATGAAATGGGATCGACTTCCTCTCTTCCATATAAATAATTAAACATGCTGATTTTGTAACATGAGAAATCATCATTATAAGGTTTTTTTTTTTGATGAGCCTTCGTTGCTGCATAATCGTGCAGGCTGCACTGTCAGCAGCATGTGAAGGTGCAGTGAGTCACTGGGTGTAGAAAATCTTCTGTAACTGGATTAGAGGCTCCTCATATCTACAATAACCTCTGTGTGGCTAACAGGATGTACAGGACATTTGTCACATGCATGAAATATAGTATAATAAACACAGGAAAGTGTTATATAAGGTTCACAGTCACAGAAAAAACGAGAATTTTGCAATATATTAAACCTATTTAGTAATGTTCTAGTGAATCGTAACCAGAATTTTTAATTTTTTTTACATTTTTTATTGTTTTATTTTACAGGGACATTGCATATTAATAAACATTTCGGTAAATATGTCAGAGTTAGCCAAAAGGCTAATTTTCATCTGTTGTCCCTGGCCAGATTTTATTAAAGGCTCCCTAAAAAACAAATTCAAACATCGCTAAAGGCTACAAATACAAATAACATGACAGTTTTTATCTCTGGATGTGTGCATGTCATCATTATTTTCTTTGATTTGAACAAAATATCAAAGGCACAGACCCTCAATAAACTCGAGGATTTAGAAACTGTGTTGCATATGGACAGACAATTCAACACAATACAGTTTACAAACCAAAGCTGCTGTTTTTAAGCGTATTTGTCTATTTGACTTACTTAGACTTAGACTTAGACTTAGACTTAGACTTTCTTTATTGTCATTCAAACTTGTACTTTACAGTGCAGATAAGAACGAAATTTCGCTGCATTTGGCCCGTTGTAGTGCAGGATAAAAACAGCAGCATGTATTTACATATAAAAAATAAAAATAAGGTGCAGATATAAATAGATATAAAAAGAAAAACTATGAGTAAAAATACTATACAGATAAATATATTGCACGTTATATTGTGTTTTACAGTCCAGTGAGGTCGTCCTGTGTGGGGGTTTGAGGGGGAATGGAGGGATTATTTTTTCCTGTTCAAAAGTCTTATGGCCTGTGGGAAGAAGCTGTTACGGAGGCCGAGAATGCTTTTAATAATTTATGAATCCTGTTAGGGGGCGAGGGAACTCACCATCCGATACAATATGATCCGATTTGAAACGGCGAGTATGATACGTTATGCGATATGCGATACGGCGCCCTAAGACCCAGTTACAGCCAATCAGCGGTGGTCTTGACCGGTCTTTATCCGGAGTCCGCCCAGTTTGAGAATGAGACGAGACCGAGGAAAAATGCTTTGGATTCAGAGACCGAGACCCTCAAGATCGTTCTTGAAAACAAGACTGATTTCCAGGATGACAACACGAGTGTGAAGGGAATCGCGATGTTTGTGTCCCTATCGGTGAAGATGTTATTCAGTGACTCTTGTTATTCTTAACCTTCAGTTAACTCAGGTCTTCTTCTCTCTGTCTGTCAGCTTCACAAGTTCAACAAGGAGGAGAGATGCAGCGGGGAGCATTCTCAGTCAGGTAACAAAAAAAAACACCACATACTGTAAAGTACATCAATGCAGGGGCGATTCACACTTTCTCCCATGTACTGAGGGGAGCAGGGAGAAGGATAAATCTTGTTTTGCCTGCCCCGCTTACTCAAAAAGCAAACAATAAATGTCTGGATGGTCTGTCCAAATTACAATCAATGAATGAATATCATGCTAGCATAAAACAAATCCGACAATTCAGTCTTCACTTCCTCAGAAATAAGAAGGAAAACACACACAAAACACACAAACTGCAACTTTCATACAGTCTGATAACTTTGTTCTTGTACATTTTCTTAAACTGAAATATCTGAACACAACCCCTTCAAATCATTATTTAAAATCAATTGGAGGGCCCTCTCTCCTAAAGACGGTTAAAACGGATAATTATCAGTTTTCTTTGTTGACTTTTATTGACAAACTTAGGTTTTCAAAGCACATTATGCAAGTTATGCTCAGCAGGGCAACGAGAGTAAGTGCTGTCAGATGGGGCCCCCTTAGGGAGGTTTCCTACTGTCTTTAAAAACTTTGCACATTTTGGTTCCCCTGCTTTGGTTTCAGTTTGTGAGCCTTCAGGGGCCCCTTACTAGTTAGCTGTAATTATTGAAGTTAGATTATTCCAAAGACAGAAAAGTCCAATTCAGAAAAAATAAATACAGTCTCTCTGCAGCCTGAAGTTCATAAATTCATAAGAGCACAAATTGTGTCAAATGCGAAAGAAGCTAAATAAAACTTGCATATACTTCATGTATATGTCCAAACTAATGACCACTGTTTCCCATCCACAGAGTGCCATTCTCAACGTCACCGCGACAGGAGGAAAGACTCGATCGAGTCCCGATCGCTCAGCTCTCGCGGTAGTGACGGTGAGACCATTCAGTGTTTTTTTTTTATCTTTCCTTTCAGCCTCCGTTTGGATGAATGGAGAGCTGCAGAGTCTGCGGGGAGATAAGCAGTAGAATCAGACGGACGGCAGTAATGAGATAACTGCGCTGAGGGTAAAGTAAGAACACAAAGAAGCAGAAGAAGAATAGAAGAGAGAGCGTGAGTCAGACTGTTTGATAGTCGCACTTGAACTAAAGAGAGACGGCGTGGGCTGATGACATCACAGGTCGCTCTCTTCAACTCAACAGCTGCTGCTATTTTCAGGAATCAGCTGAGTGCTTCTTCTTCTTCTTCTGCGTCTACTCTTCAATCAAATCAATTTCCCCTTATCTCCTCTCATGTTCTCTTTCCTTCACATTTTCTTGACATTTATATTTCTTAAATTCTTCTATTTAAATTTCCTTACGTCCTTCCTTCACTTCATCAAGTGTTTCGTTTGGAGCTAACAACAGGCCTTGTGTAAAATGATTTATAGTCAGGTCTAAATCAGGGTTTCTCAACAGTAGGATCGGGACCGAAAAGTGGGCCGTGAAGTCATTTTCAGTGGGTCGCTGAGGTGTATCCGGGGAGAAAGAAAACTGTGTAAAGAAGTCGATGAAGTGCTTTTTAAACATGTTTGTTTTGTTCTGTTTCTTTGCTCTGTCAAAAAATAAATCTTGATTGGTTAAAAAAAATCCCAAAGTTGGGTCGCAGTTTTGCGTGATGTAGTTGGTGGTGGGTCCTTAGGCTGGACCGTCTGAGAATCACCTTTTCTTTTCTTTTCTTTTTTTTTTGCAGCTTCAGGTTTACAGAACCGGAGATATTCCTCTGTCGCCAGGATTCACTCCATGACCATCGAAGCTCCCATCACTAAGGTACAAAACCGCCAGCAGTTACACTTTTTGCACAAACAGTGAAAGAACGACAACTTAAACCAACAGCTAAGGCTTCTGTAATACATGGTACCACCAAATATATTTGATTCTAGATAGACATTCAAAAACTTTGCCTCTCTTAAAGGAGCAATACATAACTCGGACACCTAGTGTTTAAAATGGGTACTGCAGTCCAAATTCAAAACATTAGAGAGCTGTCTCCCCCCGCCCCCTCCTCTTTAGAGTCAGGTCACCATGTGGTGGACTCTGAAGCTTCAGTGTTTATCCAGCTCTGCATGGGTCTGTAAACCTTTCTGCGTTCTAACCTCTCTCCATTTTTCAAAAGCATCTCCAATATTGATCCTAGTTTGAGCACGTTTCTGCTCGTGGAGCTTATTAGAAACATGCAGAGGCTTTTTATGTCGGGTACAATCACTTCTATCTGAACCACTTCTCTTGACCCGCTTCCATCGCTGCAACACCTGTTGACCTGATAACTGCTCTCATATCTGGCAAACCAAGGGGCGTCCAAAACGGCCAATGTGGGGGCTCGCCTTAAAACCGCCTACCTTCTCTGGTCCAAACAAATCCAGAGCATTCAGGAGCAGAATCTAAAGTTAGAAGGAGGACATACTGGCTGCTGCATTGTTGTCAGAGAAGCCAGCACTTCAACATAGCATGTTTCCTTAATGTCTGTTTAGTTACAGTAAATGTTTGAAGAGCATGATGTGTTTTTAGTCCTTGGCTTTATTTGAGAACATAACATATAAATGAAAACTGTTCAGAGACGATCAGGGATTGATCTTTGAATTCTCCACAACCCCGTTATCATGATGTGAAGGTACCGCGAGCAACAATGACCCAGAGCAGAGTGGAGGCCACATCAGATTTTGGATAAAAGACAGTTAATAGAACTGTCCCCTCCTGCAGGTCCTGTGATGCTCCGAGGTCCTTAAAGGAGCTTTTTTTCCCCCAGAAGAGTTTTTTATGAGATCATATGAACCATGCACAGTGAAAGGAGCGCTCTGTGTTCCAGCATGGCGTGCAGAGGGACTCTGTGTTTTGTATGGAGGCTCTGTTGAAGCAGAATAGAGACGTTTCTGTCCCTTGTCCCTCAGGTGATCAACATCATAAACGCAGCGCAGGAGAGCAGTCCGGTGACGGTGGCCGAGGCTCTGGACCGCGTGCTGGAGATCCTGAGAACCACCGAGCTCTACTCCCCGCAGCTCGCCTCCAAAGAAGACGACCCCCACACCAACGACCTGGTCGGGGGGCTCATGAACGTAAGCAGCAAGAGTGATACATTTCATTCATTCATAAGTACATGTGCTCGATCCGCTTCTTAAGGAGAGGTTCTTATCTCACACCTTTGATATTGAACGTGCATTCTCGTCTGATCACATCGTCTTTGGCCTCCAAAATCAAATCAGATCTTTTTTTTTTAAATGCCAACAGAGTATTTGATTCTTTACTTCTTAAAACTCGTGAAAGAACACCCACAGTGAGGTGAGTCACTGCACGGAAACATCCAATGTGTCTGGATTAAAACAATCTGCAATAGGCTTAATGTGATATGTTACATGATATGTTTTTGTAAACTTGGAGATGTACGGAAGCCCAAAGCAGACATGCATCCATATGTTTTAATCACCCTTCTTTTTCAGTGATAACGAGTACGTTCTGGTTGTTTTTGAGGTCTCATCTCATATATCTAGAAACATGGCTGAACTTGTCTCATTAGTGAGGGGAACAGCAGCGTGGCATGTCGTGGTCTAAGACAACCACAATTTTTAGGTGATGACGGAATAAGTTGAGATCTCGAGAAACTAATTCTATTTATTTTTTTAATTCTTTTGTTGCCACTAAAACTTTTCTATTATTTTTTTCAACAGAAAAACATCAAACATAAACATAACATCAGAATAATTGCCAGACATTTAGACATGTTCAATTTTAGGTCACAACCTAAGTAGTGCAGTTCACAAGGGAGTCTTTAAATAGCTGCTCATAATCTACATGATAAAATAAAATAAAAAAATAAAATAAAAAATAAAACAGTGAAAGGGAGGTAAACGACATAAAGTTGTCAGAATGAGTGGGGCAAACCACCTAACACCTTATCCATTGATCTGTCAAATATTGTCTCCATTTTGACCCATTTTGCATTTTACGAGTCCTTTCTTAGGACTTCTTCTGCTACTGAAAATATATTCAGAAGGGAAGAGAAACCAATTCTAAAGATGATATTCATTGGATACAGTTATTTAAAAAAATGTCTTGTATTTGTTTTTTTCTCTCTCCAGGATGGGCTACGGAGACTCTCTGGAAATGAATATGTCTTCTGCAAAAGTAAGTTTCAAAGAAATATTGGAGTCTCCCCTTAAAACGAGCTCTTCCTTTAACAGTTGCGTTTGTACAACAAAGAAAGTGTCTGGACTTTCCAACATGTTGTAATAATGTAAATTAAGAGTAGATTCATATTTCAAAGCAGGATCGTATCAGTTCAGTAATGTTATCAGGGTTGGGGTTTGAAAACCTTGTTAATCCAGATGTTACCAGCAGTCTGGGAGATTTGGAAAACCCCCAAAATCACAGAAATTTCTCTTGGAGGCTTGAGCTCAGCCTGAATTTGAATAATCATCAAAATACATAGAAAAATGTCATCTTCTCAACAAAACAAAGTCACTCATAAAGTGGTGTAGAGGGTGTGTGGAGGGGTATTGATCGGGGCAGGATGGGAGAAATGAAGAGGGTTCAGCCTTGATTATTTTTTTATTACTTTTTATTGTCATCATGTCTTAACATACAGTACACATATTTATATTCAACATAAGGATGACAATATTTTCCATTTTTATAGGTGGTGTGGTGTCAAAGAGGTTGTGTCCCCCCAGTGATGTGGAAATACTAAAAAATAGCACTTACAATACAGAAACATGTATTACAGTTTGTTTAAAGTAGCTTGGATCTGTGTTACATAAATTCATACATTTTTCCCTCCATCAGGGTTTTCTTCCCTTTCTCTGCGATATTTAACATCTTTAGGAAGGGCAAACAAACAAATTAGTTATATAAAATTAAATTAAAAGACAGAGAAGAAGAGTCAAAGGAGAAAGAAATCAAATTCATTCTTCATTATTACAGATATTATGAAACACAAGGTCTGCTGCCGTGACTGAATCACATGAATATATAAATATTAATGTGGTTACTGGAGATATCACAATGTTCTTGGGAGCCTTCTAGGGGTGTTAACGCCGTATTATGTCATCTCCATTACAATGATTAAAGTCACAAGGACACTTAGCCGAGAGAGGATCTGAAGGGGAGAGTCTCTTTTTCAGTGAACTCGTCTTCTTGTTCATCAACTTGAAACAAAGAGCCCTGCCTCTGCTCTCAGACGTTTTTTTTTAAACAATCTCATCAAACACCGTTCATGTAATCACCGTCTCAAAGGAGCTGATTTATAAAGTGAGACGTTAAGCCAGTGTGTTTGAACATGTATATACCAAGGCGGGTACAGACATTTATCGTTTAAATCCCCCACAGAGCTCTCTCTCTCTGTTTGCCCCTTTTATGGTCAAACCACCTTGGACAGTGTGTGTGTGTGTGTGTGTGTGTAACTGAGTGTGTATGTACTCTACTAGATATGAGCCAGAGCCAGCTGGCGATCCCCGTCACTCTGAATGACGTCCCTCCATCCATCGCCGAGATGCTGAACGATGAGGAGTGCTGGGAGTTCAACATCCTGAAGCTGGAGGCAGCGACACACAAGAGGTAAAAATCACTGCCGATTCATGAGTTCGGAAAATAAATGTATTGCTTGTTGCATGGATATCATCGGTGGCGATTCTCGAGTCCGCTGGGGCCCTCGGCAAAAATAAGTTAAGGGCCCCTCCAGCCACTATTTGATCTAGAAGTGTCAAAATGCTCTTCCTCTTCCTGTGATTTTCATTAACGAGCTTTGGTTTTCACAAGAATAATACATGATTTCGTAAGCAGGGCAATGCTGTCAGATGGGGTCCCATTAGGGAGGCGTCCTACTGTCATTGCAAAGTTTGCGCATTTTGAGCTACTGATGTGGTTTTAAAGGCTTTATATGCGGTCTAGAGATGCTGATACCCGGATATGATTTATTTATTTTCCTAAATAAAGTGAAACATTAAAGGTTTTATATGCGATTTTTTTTTGATCCAGCAGATGTCGCCCTTGAGCACCAGCATGAAACCAAAACAACTCGCGCTGCATTGTTGTGTTAGCATGCTAATGCTAGCGATCTTTATTATGCTGGTATCTTCACACTGCATGTAAATTTACCTGAAATGAGCGTGATCTAGAAACACAGTTAAGCAGTGAGTACAGTATGTTATTCTTCTTTTCTCTAGTCCCTCAATTAAACAACTTTTATACACGAGGGGAGGAGTCAGCCGGTCGTCCCGGCGATGTAAACAAACTGAAGATAGAAGAAAACTCTGAAAACATCACAGACAGTGGGACTCGGGTGTTACACCCATTGTAGACAGTCATGACTCACAGAGTTATTTTCAGAGGATATACTTGATTTCTATTATATTTAAGTGTGAAAAATAAAGCGTTTAAAGTTTTTCAGCCCTCGGGGGCCCCTCAGTGGTGCGGGTACCCCAAGCAGTTACCTGCCTTGCCTGTTGACAAGCAGCGACTCTGGATAGCATTTCATTTTGTTATCAATAAAGCACTTAATTCTGACTTTGAATAAATGATGATGTCTCTTCTGGATGAGAGAAATAAAAATAAAACGTATTGGGAGGATCGTATTTCTGTCATGTTAATGCACAGTATGCAAAGATATGTTTCAGATATCATTCACTCTTTTGATCGATTTAGATGAGAACAAAGGCCTCACTCTCATATCTGTATTGTGAATGTTCAGCTTTAGCTAGCAGCTAGTTTGCCAGAAAACTTTGCCGAGGTTTAAAACACACTGCTGTCCATTCAGCTCGTGTTTTCCTGTGATATTCTCTGCAGGCCGCTGACGTACCTCGGGCTGAAGATCTTCACGAGTTTCGGCGTATGTGACTTTCTGAGCTGCTCGGAGGCCACGCTGCGCTCCTGGCTGCAGCTCATGGAGAGCAGCTACCACTCCTCCAACTCCTACCACAACTCCACACACGCCGCAGACGTGCTGCATGCTACGGCCTACTTCCTGCGCAAGGAGCGGGTCAAGGTCGGTAGAATGACACAAGTTTGGATTTATATACCATAAATACCTCTTGATCTTAAGAAATTTGTTTTGAAATTTGCTTCTTCGTGGTTTCTTTCCGTTTTATTCCTTGATCAAGGGTTTTCCTGAGCAGAGAGCATTCCCTGAAAAGTTTTGTGCATGTGTGAAAATGTCTCCTTTCTCTGTTGATTCCTTCAGGGCAGTCTGGACCAGCTGGACGAGGTGGCGGCTCTTATAGCAGCCACAGTGCACGACGTGGACCACCCGGGCCGGACCAACTCATTCCTGTGCAACGCCGGCAGCGAACTGGCAATCCTGTACAACGACACGGCCGTGCTGGAGAGCCACCACGCCGCCCTCGCCTTCCAGCTCACTGTCCGAGACACCAAGAGCAACATCTTTAAAAACACAGACAGGTCAGTTAGAAGCAGGTATTTTGGCCTCCGCTAGCATGATTTACATTAATGGCCTTTACTCCTTAACCTGATCCTTTTTCTTCTCCTGATAGGAACCAGTTCCGGACGCTTCGACAGGCCATTATTGACATGGTTCTGGCCACGGAGATGACCCGACACTTTGAGCACGTCAGCAAGTTCGTCAACAGCATCAACAAGCCGATGGCCGCCATAGAAGAGACCTGCACAAGCGTGAGTGTGAGAAAAATGTGTTGCGATAAATGCTCCTGCAAAAGACACAAGTTCATATGATGTCAACCTTGATTTAACGAGAAACAGCATTTATTTGTGAACTACATAAGAACTACATCACCCACAATCTTAGAGTGTCACAGTGACATCTCTGGATTGGTGGAGCACGCTGTAACCATGGCAATGTTCACCGTCCCTGCAAACGTCGTCATTATTAAAAATATTAACACTGCAATAAAGATGATTTTAGAAAGAAGGTCCATGTAGCGTTTGAAGGAGTGGTTTGCATTTTTTTTTCTCTCTCCAACAGAGCATGAACAGCGACTGTGAGGGTCAGGCCAACATCAGGAACTCTCCGGAGAACCGCCTGCTCATCAAGAGGATGCTGATCAAGTGTGCAGACGTGGCCAACCCCTGCAGGCCGCTCGAGCTGTGCATCGAGTGGGCCGGGCGGATCTCTGAGGAGTACTTTGCCCAGGTGATGGGGGGGGAACACACAAACACACGGCTCAGCGTGAATAATGTCAGGTTAAAAAAAGAATAGTTAAACAGCAGTGTGTCTTTTACTTACTTTCAATACTTGATCTTATTTTTGGACTTTTTATATTCCAAGCTGCAGTTTTTCATGTAAAGATTTTTATGTGTATTAACTTGGTATGGTCATTTAATTGTCATCTTTGTGTGTTTGCCGTGCAGACGGACGAGGAGAAGAGACAGGGGCTGCCCGTGGTGATGCCAGTGTTTGACAGAAACACCTGCAGCGTCCCCAAATCTCAGATCTCCTTCATCGACTACTTCATCACGGATATGTTCGACGCCTGGGATGGTGAGAACTTTTTGGATTTGTCCTCTTTTGCAGTGTGTCTTTATTTTTATTTTTTTTGTTATTTTCGTTTCAATTTCAATTCCAAGTAGGGAGTGTGTGTTCCAAAAATAAAGCTCTGTGCATATTTATACAGGCGTCTGACTGTGTTAGGAAGAGGTTAGCTTAAATGTTTACTCAGAAACATCTTAAACACTTAAAGTAATTGGCTTTGTGGAGCTTTGTCACCTCTTACTGCGGCGGTTGCCCTGCAGAGTGTCTGCTCTCAGGTTCACTCATGTACGCTCTCCTGAAATGTTACTGGGAATTGCAGGAGGACTGCCCCTAAAATCCTCCTGATCTGGTTGTTCACAGTAGTCTCTCGCACCTCACAGCGGGAGACTACTGTGTCAGTGTCACACGGGGTAAAAGGAACAAAGCAACAGTCCACTATACGACGCTATAATGAGAATATTTGCCTCTATATCAATGCTTTGTGTAGTTTGACAGAAATATCATTTCATAATATCAACAAAAGAGCGAAGAAGAACATACTGGGGAACAGAAAACATAATGCAACCGTTTAATTACATGCAAGGTAGAGGTGGGAGAAAAAACGATTTATGTAAAAATGTTTGATTCTTATCTTCTGAGATTCTAAATCGATTCATAACTTCCTAAAATAGATATTTTTTGGGCTAATCAGTCACGCCTTGCTAAGTGCTAAGGCTAGCTTTTTAACTCAGTAGAATGGAGCAACAAGACATTCAGCCAGTCTCACAGATGACTGGAGTAGATAGTCAAGAATGTACTCATAAACAAATAGACTTTGAATCTTGAATTCAGAATCATTTTGACCCGCAAGAATCAAAATCGAATCAAATTGTGAGACACAAAGGTTCCCAGCCCTAGTGCACGGAGATCACACTGGTCGCGTGCAGACAGTCTATGCATCGTGCACCAATTGCAAGGAATAAACGCCAACGCCCCCTCCAACTCGCTCGAGGTGAATTCTCCTGAGAATATCCTGCTGTGTTCTCACATCAGCTCACTCAGACTCAATGTGGAAACAATTCTAGAGGGCTGGCAGGAGAAACTCCGGATAGAGTCTGAGTGAAAAATATGGCTGTTTGAATTCACACATAGAATTCACCCTGAAAAATCAGGAGTTTTGTGCAAGTGTGAAAGCACTATTTGATACTTGAAAGATTCCATTTGATTATTCACAAAACATTTTTCATATCGTCAGACGTTTGTGATAACGAGGAGCGTACATCTATTGAGATTTATTCTCAACTTTAAGTAGAAGCAGCCTGGTTATAGACCCCTAAATCTCAACACTCATTTGTGATCACTTCATATGTGCAAAAGATTAAATGTTACAAAATATTAGGATGAAACAGAACCTGAAACATTCAGCTCATCATCCCCGTGCTCTGTCTCTGCCTTCAAAGAAGTCTTCATCTTTCAGGCAGAGTTCAGGAAAAATTGAGAGAGGTAAGAAGGGATGTGACTTACAGTGCTTCTAGTTCCCCTCACTCCCACTGAATTTCCCTTTTAGTTTAAGGCTCCCCAAGAGGGGAACTTGTTTACTGTCAACACAGCTCTGATGTCACGGAAAGATTTCAAATGTCAGTGGGACAAAGAGAAAAGTGCGAGGGCGTCTGGGGAGGAAAAGTTTGGAAAAAAAGAGAGGAGGGGATGACGGGGGTTCATGATCGCTTGAGAGCCGAGAGGAGACGAGGACACACAAACATAAAAACACACATGTAGCCTCTCTTAGTTGAAGGGGGGTCACTGGGTCGCTGTCAGACCATCATGAGGTCGATGTTAGTCCAGAGATTCTCCGCGGGTCAGCAACAGGGCGGAAATTGAGATGTAAACAACAGCAGGTCGTGAACTGAGAACACACACACTGCGGACCGAATGCTGTGTGTGTGTGTGTGTGTGTGTGTGTGTCCTTAAATGTGGGACAACATTGCAGAGTGTACATAACAGTAGACACTGTACATGAACCGCACACACCCTCATAGAAAAACATCTTCCTGCTTAAAGTTCATGTTGAGTGATAACAGGAAGAGGAGCTGTGTGTGTCGTCTCAGGACAGTCGACGGAATCTGTTCCTGGAAAAAGTATTTTCTAGCTTCACAGAGAAGAGTATGTCTTTATTTTCATTTAAGAAGAGAATCATACGGTGACATAGTTTAGGAAAAAAAAAAACATGCAGCAATTTCAGAAACAGTGCAAAGTGGATATAAATGCAATGACAGCAAAAAACTGAAAATGAAAAAATGTGCTGCAAAAAGCCGAAGCATCTGCATTAACAGCAGACAAGCTCAAAATGATTTAGAGCCTGTGTTCACTAAAGCTGTTGTTTCCTCTGGCAGCGCTCATTTTAATTACTAAGCCCATGCAGTTCAGTTTTTTCAGTGCTCAGTGTCCTGAGCTCAACCTCTGCCTCAGAACTTTTTTGGTCTAGAGGTCTAGAGATGCTGATACCTGGATATGATTTATTTATTTTCCTAAATAAAGTGAAACATTAAAGGCTTTATATGTGATTTTTTGATCCAGCAGATGTCGCCCTTGAGCACCAGCATGAAACCAAAACAACTCGCGCTGCATTGTTGTGTTAGCATGCTAATGCTAGCGATCTTTATTATGCTCGTATCTTCACACTGCATGTAAATTTACCTGAAATGAGCGTGATCTAGAAACACAGTTAAGCAGTGAGTACAGTATGTTATTCTTCTTTTCTCTAGTCCCTCAATTAAACAACTTTCATACACGAGGGGAGGAGTCAGCCGGCCGTCCGGCGATGTAAACAAAGTGAAGATAGGACTCTGAAAACTCTGAAAACATCACAGACAGTGGGACTCAGGTGTTACACCCATTGTAGACAGTCATGACTCACAGAGTTATTTTCAGAGGATATACTTGATTTATATTATATTTAAGTGTGAAAAATCACATATAAAGCCTTTAAGCAGACTGAGGTATTAAAACCAAACTCTGAATCTGAGGTTGTGCGCGCTGCCAGTGCGATATAAAGCTGTGAATGTACACAGGGCGTTAATGCTGCAGACTCAAAAACACAGAAAAGAAAAGATATTGAAAAATTTTGCAAAAAAAACATCAAAATCAACTGAAGGCCTCCAGAGCTGAATCTCGATTTCCTCCCTAAACCCTGATTTTTAAACCCTGACTTCATTGGAAAGTGATTGAGTTGCACGAGGCTGCAAGGGCTCGAAATGGTTAAATACCAACGGGACAGCACGTTTTTTTAAAAACTCCACAAAGACAGACCCTAATGTCCAAATCTAATATTCACTCCCTGACAAACTTTTATAACACGACCATGACTGTAAAACATTACAACTAGGGCTGGGAACGTTAACTCGTTATTTTTGCGTTAACTAATTAATCAATTATCGCAGACAATTATTTTATCTCGCATTAACGCAGTTTTTATTATTTATTTTCTTATTGTAAAAGTCTGTTGCTCACTGGCTTTAATTTCGTAAAATTCCATCGTGAGTGAGCCTAGTATGTTGCTTACTGCAGCGCTCACAGGAAACAGGAAACAGGAAATTGATTGGCGTATAATCAAGCATGGAGAAGGGTACAGAACTTTTACATGGCCATTTTCATTTTTAAGTTCTTCCAGACGGCGCAGTCGACAGAGCCAAAGTTATCTGTAACCACTGTGAAGTTGAATTTTCTTATCACCGGAGTACTTGATAAATACTCCAAAATATCTCTGAATATATTCTCTGAACTCCTGCATGTCACTGTCACTCACAGACTCCACCTAGTGGTGTAGATTATGCTGCACATCTAATTAATAACATGTCAACATGAACTGTTTGAATAATGTTGCAGTTCAGAAAAATACATTAACATGAGCAACTTTGAAGATGAATTCAAAAAGATTATAAACTAAAACTAAGGAAACTAAAGAATTAAAAAATGACAAGTACAACAAAAATGTGTTTGTGGGGTCCCCGATAACCAAACAATAAACATCAATGTTCTCAATTGACCTGTCACACTCTCCCCCACTTTAAAAATGGCGTCCCGACATTTTCATTATACCTCTTAGCCTAAAACCTTTCTGGGCAGTTTTTTTTTTTAATATAACAAACAGGACGACATTATGCCCTTGCAGTGGCAATAAGCTTTAGTTTTGTATTTATTTGCTTTGATTACATTGTTTAAGTTGAGAAGTACATTTACAATAAAAGTGCGCTATACACTACTTTTGAATTCATTATTGGATTTTGCGCATAACAATGCGATTAATCGTGATTAATCACAAGAACTCATGCGATTAACGCGGTTAAAACTTTTAATCGTTGCCCAGCCCTAATTACAACCATTCAAAATGAAATATTCTTGTAGCGTTTTTTTATTTTTCTGCAGTTTGATTTTGTCTTAACCACATGTGAATTTTCCCATGATCCCCCCTCAGCCTTCGCCAACCTGCCCGGTCTCATGGAGCATCTGTCGGAGAACTACAAATACTGGAAGGGCTTGGACGAGATGAAGTGTAAGAGCCTGCGTCCTCCGCCGCCTTCTTGACCTTCGGCCTCCATCCTCACACCCGATTCGCTCTGAGCGGGGCAGGACAAGTGACGCGGCCCTGCGAAGGAACAATAAGCCTGGGGGGTGGGGGGGGGCGGAGCTCTGTGACCTCCCAGGTAACCCCGTGGACATATTCACTGCCAGACGCTGGTTGATCAGGGACGCAGAGAGCACACATCGCTGACATGTGTCTCATGACCCCGCCCACTCTTTTGTTTGTCCACTTGACGGCCCTGATGAGTATTTCTAGAAAGCACTTCTTCTGTGTGAACATTTGAGAGTTGACTGACAATCTGTAACATACAGCGTAACACTACAGAAACCTGCACTTTAACGTCGCTCTTTCTTTATCTCTTTCTTTGTCTTTAAACCCCCTTTTTTTTTCCTTTTCTACATCTGCCAGTTGCTGTAAAACAATTGAGGCGATTAAGACGGTGACCAACCGTGAGGTAATGACAAAAAACAGCACTAAGAGGGATCGCTCTGTTCGCGCTGGTCTGTAAATGTGGAGTTACTCAAATTCAAAATTGACGACTTTTAAAGGTGCTCTGCTGAAAATACTTCTGCTGTGTTGTGTCCAAAGTTTGGGGGATATTTTGACTTGTGTTAAGGACCAAGAACTGAGCAATCATGCGTCTGTTGGCCCCCGTAAAGAAAGAACTCGCTTAGAGATTTAGGAAAGGGGAGACCCAGAGTAGACCCAGGGTCCAATCAGAAGGGGAGAACCAGCCAGGTGGACACTTTTTTCTACATTTTTTTCAGCAAGACATGACATGGAAGAAGGCTTGTTTTTGTGATGCCTGCTGGGTTTTACCAGGTGGTGAATCATTTCACCCACACATTTTTTTTTTTTTTTTTTTTTAAGAATAACTTCTTCTAAGTCATCGCTCATTGTGCACTGTGAAACAAATGAAGGAACACATTTATACTGTATACAGGAGAGTTCAGGTCTTTTTAATCCTGGTACTACTAATATATGTCAGGGTCTACATGACTGATAGGTACTAAAGTTATTGAGTTGCTCCGGTAAACAGTGTGTGTGTGCGCTGGCTGCAGAATAATCCCTCAGAGACAGATAGACGTTTTTTTGTTAAAAGAGTGCGATACATATTTTTTAACTTAACAGAACAGTTGTCACATTTTTCTACAACCAAAAGACGTCGTTGACTTGAAGGGAGTTTTATGTCGCATCACACGGGAGTTGTTGCAGTTTGTATTCCTAAACAATGTGTCACACAATTGAGGTGGCGGTAGATCAGCAACTCCTGTATCCTGGGAGGTACGGTTACTTTTTTTCGTTTTGTCAATGGAGTCGGGTGCCTTTTAATGAGAGCGATGTAACAACTTCTGTTCTGGTTTCAAACAAGCTGCAACCTCAGCTGTTCAAACATGTAGCTAAATGCAGGAGTGCAACGCAACTGCAGTTCATCGAGTGACCACTTGGGGCTGGCTGCAAAAGCCAAGGAATCCCCATCAGGGCTCATGTTAAAAAAAACAACAGTTTTTTACATGAGAAATAAACACGTTTACAGCCTGGTTCAAAATGCAGTTTTAGTCCTTTTAGCTAATTTCTTTATTCTTAAAAAACTCCAGTGGGGTTTAATTTTCTTGAAACTCATCCTATAAAGATTTCAAACAAACCCAGTATTGTACTTAGTCGGCAACTGAGGGGTGAATTGGATCTTGTTTGGAAGTGTGTTCTTACCGATGCAACAAATCCAATATCCAATGCATAGCATCATTCTGGATATGCAGATCTGTTTATTTACCTCTTCCAGTAATTACAGAACAAAATGCAATTAGTTACACTCAAATTAAACTCAAATTAAACTCACTGCACGCTGAAAACTTCATTCACACACTTGGCTGAAATGACCTGGAGTCCAGCATAAGCCAAGACTCCACCTACAGGTCAGTATTGGAATTACACTCACAAATACAACAACACTGTGTCACCAAGGGTCTCATGCAGAGATAAAATACAACAAATAAAAAAGATGCATTCAGGTTCTGATGCATCTGTTCTGATAGTATTGAGGCTATTGAGTCGCGTGTCCGAGTTGACAGACAGCTGGATGCCGTTGTTGGAGCTGTTTCCTGGAGGCTAGTCTTCAATCCTAACTTAATCCTTTTACTGACCTTAAACTCTTTGCTTTTTTGGGCTGTTTTCAAGCTAGACGAGCTAGAGGGGCGTGTTTCAGTTCCCAAGATATTTATTCATCCCGCCTCGGCAACTCCACCTCTTTGCCTACTTCTCCATCAGAGTCAGCTTTTTCTAACATGGTTAAACTGCCTCTTCAGAAACCAGCAGTCGATGCCACTGAGACCACGTCTGAGTTTTACACAGTCTATGATTGGATCTTACTCTTCAACAAAACTGCCTATATGTGTAGGGATCTCTTCTAAGAATGCTGTCAGATGTTAGAGTAACAATCTGAGCCGGTCAGTGGCAAAATCTAGTGGTCCGACATGTTTGCCCTGATGATTATTTCTTTAACTAGATTCTTTTTAAACATTCATTTAAACCCCAAATATTAAAGCTAAGACCCAGGTTTAAAAACAGTAGGCGCTGATTCTGTGATGAAACAATATAAAAACCAACAGATGACACACACACAGAGCTTTGTGACACTAAACTGTAGGAAGTTGCACCCAAATACAGTCAAAATAAATCATGGAGCGAGTGAGAGTGAGCGTCCGAACAAGCTTTTGCTATAAAACTACACTGACTGTTGAAGGATGCTTTCATTGTTCCACTTCTGTAGGCGCGGTGCAAAACTGTCGTCCAAGTAGCTGTGTCTGAAGTCACGACAGGAAGTATGAATGAGCTCCAGAACAATTTTATGATCCAGCTGATGCAAAGCCAACTCCGGCTTAAACATGTTTTTTTTGTTGTTTTTTTTTCTGTTACACTAATTTACAAGATCTCAAACCCTGCAGCGGAGAGAAGTCCAGTCCATGTGGTTGTTTGATATGATTTGCATTTAGAGAAACAGACAAGAGAAGCCTGTTCAGATGAGGAGATTTATTTGATGTGTCTGCCCTCTGGTGGTTACAAGGAAGTACTGCAGGAGAGGCACACTTAACATGCATCATTTGTAACATCTGATTTGAATTTTTCAGCTTAAAAAAAAGTCAGAAATGAACCAGTGTTACTGTTTGGTTGTTGGATATGTCACCTCCTAATATATCTGCAACAATCTCTCAAAGAGTTGACAATTAATTCACTATTTTAAAACCGTTTCAGCAGCTTCTTCTGTCGGGTTACTTCACTCCTTATTCACCATTGAACATCTTTGTGAAGGAAATATGACATCATCATCTTGGGCTATTTGGGAACATAAATCAACTTTTTATTAAATAGTTTCCTGAATCTTAACAGACCGAATAACTCGTAAATGTAAGAAACAATTTTGTTATAAATCTACGAGAACGAAAAAAAATTGTTGTGGCAAAACTTCTTTGAGGGAACTTTTATGACATTTTAAAAGCTCAATGAGACCAGCATCCTCTTGATGGTATATTTCATAAAACATTTTTAAAGTGAAGTCGTGATTAGTGGATCATTTGCAGATATCCATCAACAACTTGAGCTTTTATTATTTCCTATTCACGGCTCCATTATCAACACTCTCTTCTAAACTATGCTCATGAATGAAAAAGGGAGGACATGATGCTGTGTGTGTGTGTGTGTGTGTGTGTGTGTGTGTGTGTGTGTGTTGATTCAGAAAACACAAATCACTGTATCAACCAAAGGCACAGGTGCCTTAGTCTTCGGTGATTTATACCCAGATGAAGGTGTTTCTTTCCCCCGGCTCTCCTCTCAAAGCCATACATGTTTGAGATACCTTTAAGAAGTTGTCCTACGGAAGCCCTAAGTGGACATGCCTTCATACATTTTTATTTGACTCTTTTGTGCTGTGATGAGGAGTAAAGAGTGATTTATGGGTTTTTTTTCCTGAAGATCTTGACTTATTAATCTCAAGATAATGACTCTGTTTATATCAGCTGTCTTCTAGAAACCTCCTTTTGTTTATCTCGTTATCTTTGGATTACTAAACGAGCTGTAGAAATGATTCATCATCACAGGAAAACTAAAATAAATAAATAGTTTGGATTCATACAGGAGCGTGTCTATGTTCCCTCAGCTTTTCTGCAGCAATGAATACAAGGTCACATATCCAAAACATAAACCCGACCAGAGTGCTCCGAGACCGAGACATTTAGGGACATAGACTGAGTCAAGACTAAGACCATAAACATCACTGAAAAACCATCATCTTGTGTGCAGCGGGCACGTCAATCAATCAATCAATCAATCAATCAATCAATCAATCAATCAAACTTTATTCATACAGCACCTTTCAGACAAATTAAATTGCAGTTCAAAGTGCTTTACAAGAGTGAACAGTTAGTTTATAAAATCATTGATAAAATCATTGAGAGACTAATGCACACGTATAAGAATTAAAACTTAGACCGTATCACCAGGAAGGTTGCAGCTGTAACCGGGTGTTAAAAATCCAAAAACTACAAATTAATTTAAGTTATTTGTTTTTTTTAGAAAGGGCTGTTTTCCTTCTTTACCAGGTGATGATGTGGAAAAGTAGCCGTTCAGTGGTGGTCTTGAATTAAAATCCGGAGTCCAACCAGTTTGAGACCGAGACAAGACGGAGTAAATTCAATTCTGAGACGAGACTTTCAAAAAGTCCCTCGAGACCAAGACCAATATCGAGTACTACAACACTAACAGGGAGGGGTACGTGCAAAAACATGTCACGTGCATTATAGAAGAACCAGCCCTGATGCTGAGGGAACATATTGCTGACCCCATGAATTCATGTCCCCTTAGGGCTTCCGTAAGCGTCAACTTTTCCTCTTATTCTGTTTTGAAAAACTTTGAGATATCCTGAGATCTCAGACGGGAACTCATTCATTGTTTTGTTTTTTGTTTTTGTTCTGTTTGCTGTAAAGAGATAGAGCTGGTCACCTCCATGTTCAGTGTTTTTTTTTTTTATGAATGACAAAGATTCCTAATCGACGCCTTAAACTGTCTCGTCTTAGTGTTGATGTCTGCTATTGTTGCAATACACTGTAAGCTATCTGCTGTCCTTGTACAGACTCACATTATTAACAGTTTTTGTTTTTTTTGCTTTTTACAAACGTTACCTTTTCTCTTGTGTTGGTTGTTTTACGTTGCAGAGGTGATTATTTCCTAAAAAGACAATGTTTTTAAATTTTTTCAGTGTCTCCACCTCTGAATGTTTCCTGTGATCATGAGAAGATGTTTTTTTGCTAGATTTCCATCCACAGAGACGATTGAAATATTTGAGATTAACGTGTAAAACCATGCCTTCTGTGTGAGCAGCACTGACTGTGATGTGATGATAGAAATGAGACGAGAAAGTCGCTTTGAGTCCACTGAGGCAGAAACCAGACTGTAAGACAGCGTGTGAAACCACGAGCCTCGAACACAGACTGATTTCTTCTCGTCTCTCTGCGACACCGCTGATGGCCGTGACTGCAGACATCGTGCCAATCATTTACAAACCGGACAATAATCAGGAAGTGAGAAATGTCACACTTTTATTTTTTTCAGAACAAAACAAAACACTGCCGATGATGAGAGAACAGTACATCTTGTTCTGAGAGATTTTCACTGCCTCGTGCTACGAAGTGAACAAAGCTTTCCATCACTCTAAAATGTTGGTTTGTATATTTTAGTTTGCTCTTCAGACTCTTGTTTTATTTCATGTTCTGTCAAACACAAAATGTATTGTGAGAGAAAATTAAAGCATTCTTATAAGAAATGGTGTTGTTACATTAAAGGCGCAGTATGTAGATTCCGCCACCAGGGGGCTCTCCATCAATCAATGCAATAAACAAAAGATGATGTCGAGGCTGGGCGGGGAATCATGGGAGTGATTCACCCTGTAACTCCACCCCTCCACCCCCGATGAAGATGAACTTTTCCCAGGAAATGAGTGCAGACTATTTCTGTCCAAAAATGTGTTTTCTATGGAAGCCCAATTCTGTCAGTTAAAAAAATAAAAGTGGAAATTAGATATAAGAGATAATAAAGTCATAGTAATGAGATAAAAAGTCTCTTTTTTCTCTCATAATTTCGTTTTTATTTCATTATCTCATAATTTTTTATAGTCAAAAAAAAAAACCTCAACAAAGCCAAGTTTTCATTTTTCTTTTTTTAACTGGCAGAAATGGGCTTCCATAGTTTCCTGCTCAACAAAGCAGCAGCTTTTAGGACAACTGCTGGTCAAGGAGCCCAACAGACTGTGCTGAAAAACACCAAAATCTCCCAATAGAGAGCTGTGGAACAGGCTTAAACGCTAAATATGAAGAGGCTGAAAGGCTAAAAATGAGGCAGTGCTTAGACAGCAGCAGCCGTCTAAACGCCGGCTAATCCCCGAGAGGCCTTCAGAACATGACACGTCATCAGAGGAAAAATATTCTGCTCAAGATGACTCAAATCAAATGTGGAAATAAAAATACAACACACAGCGTGTTTCTGAGATGAGGTATTTACTGGAGTTTAACTTTTTTCAGTCATAAGGCAAAACAACAACCATCACATTATCATGGCGTGCAGACGACGATCATTACAGTCAATTCAAATCGTTTTTTCAACAACATCAACACCACAACTTTACATCTCTCCTTTGTTCTTAAGGCAGCAAATTTTTACAAATTAGACGATTCAAACGTCAAGTCAGAGTCCTCCGTTCTCCTCCAGTTTTTGAAAAAGCGCCAGGCTGCGCAGGTGGGACTGCCTCTCTCCGTTCTTCCACAGAATCAGCAGGTGGTCCGTCGAACAGGTGACCAATCCGTTCTCCTTGAAGCTCACAAACATCTGACCCAAAGAAATAGATAACTTTAAGCACTACCGTGACATCATATTCGCATTAGCTTACAATTAGTTAACAAAATCTTACCTGCACCGCCCCCGAGTGTCCGATCAGATCCCCCGTCAGCTCCAGTGTCCGGACGTGAGGGACGTCTGCGGGTTTCTTTGAAGGAGGGCCGCTCTGTTTGTTCGATCGGCCGAAAGTCCACATCCCAAAGAAGCCTGGTTAGACGGATTCAAGAGGACAAAAGACAGAACGGTCGATTGAGTACAAACTGCACGTGTTGCCTATTGAGCAGCCACACTACCTCAAGTATCCAGCTGAAGTTACAGTAACTCTTTTATACAGTTTATCAGACTCGAGGACTTATTTAAAATCCCCCACAGCTATACTACACCGACTTTATACAACCGGACCTTCAAAGCAGCATGAACACACGCTCGACGCCTGACCACTTCACCACCTCTCTGAGTGCTGCTGGTCCTGCACACTTTCCTTTGATTTACACTACACCACACCTGGACTGCATTACTGCAAGACCTCTACACCACCCAGACACTCAGCTATATACACACAAACATTGAGAGCACTCTTTTTTACTCAGTGTGACAACATGAGATCAATCTCTGGATGTGTCAATGTTTTATCTCTAGTTGGAAAATCCACAGGAGGATATGAGACGATGGCTCTTTTTGCTTGTATGAATGTATATGAATGGGATTAGGTCATTCTGATGGTTTACATTAACAAAGAAACCTCTGCCATCTGTGTGTGTTTGGGTAGGTGTGACCTGCAGTGTCAAAGGGGCGTTGGGTAGACAGAAGACTAGAAAAGCGCTCTACAAGCTCAAGTCTATTAACCGTGTGTGTGTGTGTGTGTGTGTGTGTGTGTGTGTGTGTGTGTCACCTGGAGAGGTTGGTTCTGCAGGTAAAGGGAGGTCTTGGATCTCCCACATCCTCACACTGCCGTCTTCAGAGCACGACATGAGCTCGCTGAAATAGAGACACGGATTTAAGACGCAAAACAAGAAAATCATCTTTCATAATAAGACAAAACTTGTTACTGGATGAGATCACTTTCATTTGAATGTTTAGGGGGGAGCACATGCTGACACAGTTAGAGGACACTGTATCCTTCATATAGGAAACCTGTTAAATAAAATTAATCTTAACTAAGGGATAATTGATGAAATAATTTGCCTAAAGTCCTACTTTGATAGTTTTTCAATACCACACGTTTCAAACGATACATCTGTTTTTTTTTTGATGATAAAGAATCAAGGCTTAAAATAAAAACTACAAATCTTAAATTAGATTTTATCCCAAAGCTGCTGCGAGCTAAGAAATCCAATCAACACATCCTGAACCTTTCAAACCTTACTTAGTGCACACACATTATTTAAATATAAATATGTGTTTGATTGTGTAATTTGTTTGTTTCCATAGGAGCCATCAGGAGCTTTAATATGAGATGAACAAACCCTGAAAAAGCTGCTTTAATCAAATCATTGTTTTGTGTCAAAGCAAAAGAAGGAGAGCAGGTGCGCCCCCATGTGGAGGAGAAGTGCAGTGCAACATCAGTTTACAACAGTGGATCCCAGTCTTGGGAGTCATTTCTCAATCCTTTTGTCTCAATTTCTCTGAACTTTGAGTACTAATTATTTTAGATGAATCCTACTGCCTTCCTCAGTCTTTCAGTCAAACACCTGGGGAATTATATATTTACCTGTCAGACAACAGCATGGTGTGTAAAACATTCGAGTCATGTGCCACCTTCCTGTAGGCCACCACTGTCTTTGTCTGAACGCTGTACACATACAGGCCGCTGCCCACTGCTGCGAGGATGAGCTGCGAAACACACACAAACATCGAAGTGTTCTTATTCAAAATCAACAACAACAATAAATATAACAACAGGTAACATCTCCCCATGCGGTCTTCCTCACCTTCCCGTTGGTGGTCAGGTGCTGAATGGACATCTCACTGGGTTTAGGAGCGCCTATGCGTATTTCAGTTTGAGGGGAGGGGGTCTGTGACTCCTCCCACAGGATGTGCTCGTAGGCCAGGATGTTCCAATCGACCGCGTCCCATAAGATCAACTCGCCTGCGTGAGAGCCGCTGGCAAAGAGGCCGTCTGAGGAAGTGAGAAGATCAGAAGACTCTATTATGTACACATAAAACTTAAGACCCACGATAAGTGGAGTCAAAAGATTCTAACACCTGACTGTTCTGCACTTTCACGTTGATATCATCAGATCAGAACTGAGGGGGTTTTGGGGATTTCTTTTCCGTCTCTTCTGCTCTCCATGTGGATGGTTTTCCTGCATTCCTAACTTGTCTATTCTCCTCTGTAATTAATAAATGGACACTCATTTTCTCTAATGAAGGGAATGCAGACTTTTTGATTTTCTAACAGACTGACCGTTGATGTTGATCAGAGCTCGGACCTGGTCCTGGTGGTCGGACAGGCAGCGGATCTCAGACATGGACAGAGAGGAATCAGTCGAGACTGTCAGCCTGTAGATCACTGACAAGAAATAATGAAACATAAAGGTCAGTCTTATTCTTCTATAAAAATGTACTACATTAATAGAACAGAATAGTAGAATATTGGATAGTAGAATAGAATAGTAACCCTGTTTTCCCAGCATCCATCCCCATTTTGAAGCCAAAGAGTAAAGATTGTTTTCTCCTTATAACAATCCTTTTTTTTAATCAGTTTAATGGCCACCGGAAAAAAATGATTTATTTTGGGCTTTTTTTGTCTTTATTTAGAAAGGACAGATGATAGAGAAGGAAATCAGGAAGAGAGAGCTGCAGGTTGGACTTGAATGTTGATGTACATTGAGAACAGTGGACCAAGTACAGACCCTTGCGGTACTCCCATACTAATGCATGTCCACAGGTCCTGTTTGTGTATGTGTGTGATTCAGGTCTATGTGCGTGAGGAGCATGAATAAATGAAGTATATAAAATCCCCAAAAAATGTAGATAGTCTGCCTTACAGCACATCCTTGTTAGAAACCCGCTCTCTTACCGATCACTTTATCCATAGCCGCTGCGATGCAGTTCTTCGGCAGCTCAATCAAAGCAGTTACTCCTGCAGAATGTCAGAATGTGAGCAAACACACAGGTCAGAGGGTGAGCATGTGTTGGGAGCGTTCTTTTTATGACAGTCACTCTTCCTTCTGTTTGTCCTCACCTGTGTCGCTGTGATTCTGTCTCTGACACTGCAGCTGGAAGTCTTTGCTCCACACACACAGCTCCTCGCCACCAGAGACCCACACACACAGCCGCTCCAGCACCAGCAGACACTGAGTGAGATGCACAGATTTATCAGCTCGTTAAAAACATACATATGATCCTTTCTGATTCGGTCACACGCTCTCAGAAATATCAGCGGAGGAAAAGAAATCAAATAGAATTAGCCTATGGATGTTGTAATTAACCTTAATCTGTGATCAGGAGGAGTTAATTAGCCTTTTTATCTTAAATCATCGCTGGCAGAACAATCTTTAGCGACAAACATTTTAATTAGTATGTAAGACATCCAACCAATACAAAGTTAATTACCCACAGCCGGATGACACAATGGAATAACCAAGAAAATCTAACGTGAAGGACCGCATCATGCTGAACACTGTACTGACACCCTAACACTTTAAACACAACTTCTTTTATAACGTTACAGTCTGGATTCTTTTAAATGATGGAGGGTATCGAAAAGAAATTATGCTTTGAGAACTTCACATCTTCTTTGACTTTTTGAACCAAAAGCTGCAGCGAGCGAAGAGAGAGAAAGAAGTGTCTCAAGTTCCACAAATATGTTGCCAACATTTCAGAACTAAAACATTGCCGGACGTATTTCTGCAATTTAGACGGTGTGCAGGAGTTCTGCATTTATTGATGTATTTTTTAAAGGTCTTTTGGGGTCCTTTTTGGGTCGTACTTGGATAGGACAGCTGAAGAAAGACAGGAAGTGTTGGGAGGAGAGAGTGGGGGATGACATGTAGCAAAGGGTTGAGCTGCCATGAGGACTATTGCCTCTGTACATGGGGCATAACACGACATGACTGCCAGTCTATCTGGCGCCCCGTTTGCCTGCAATGTTTGGAAATGAAAAACAAGAAAATAACCCAGTACAGGGGCTGCAAGGTGGTGCAGTGGTTAACGTTTGACGCCTCACAGCGAGGAGGTTCCTGGTTCTAATCCCCGTCGGACAGGAGCCTCTCTGTGTGGAGTTTGTGGGTTCTCTCCAGGTACTCTGGCTTCCTCCCACAGTCCAAAGACATGCTCGTTAGGTTAATTTATGACTCTGAATTGCCTGTAGGTGTGAATGTGATTGACAGGTGACCGGTCTAGAGTGTACCCCACACCCTCACCCAATGGCAGCTGGGATCAGCTCCAGTCAGAGCTAAACGCTAAACGGCAAAAAGCGGTGTAGACATGGATGGATGGAACCCAGTATTAGGCACCTAGGATTATTATCTATCTGTGGTATCGTCATTGTTCTTGACTAGAATCATATCGATGTTTAAAAATGTAGCATCATGATGACAACCCTAGTGTTACGTTATACCTACTGTTTTTTTTATGGGTTTGAAACATTATCTATGATTTCCCTTTTTTAAATACTAAAGGAATAAAAAAGTTGTTCATCCAAACCAGGTGTAAAATAAAAACAGTACTTAACGAGACATAATTAAAAAACGGCTTCATGACTCACCTTCACAGAGGACTGGAGGTCTGAAATGGTCTGAACCCTGTTCCCAGTGTCAGGATCCCACAGCTGACAAATAATAAACGTTAAGAAAAACGACACAATCACAACAATAACATGATATTTGTTTTTTGACACAAGGATACGCTGAGACTCTTGTCCGAGGAGGCCGTGATGAGCGACGTGTGCGGCAGGGCTCCGTTATTGCAGGTGAAGGTGGTCATGGCGGTGATTTGCTGGGAATGGCCTCTCAGCTCCTGCAGCCGCTCTCCGGTCTAACAGTTAGCAGGAGAGAGAGAGAGAGAAAAAAAAAATGTAAAAAGCAATTAGTGGTTTGTTGTGAAGTGTGCAATTTCACAATGCAGTGAAATCATCAACTTGCAAAGTATTACCTCGACATTCCACACCAGAACGAGGCCGTCGTCCCCTGCCGAGGCACACCTGGGAGAGAGAGAGAAAGAAAATAACAGATATGAGACGCTTCTTGCGAGTGGAGTCTCCATTTCAGCGGAGATGTGCACTTGGCAGCGAATTTACCCGGTTAATCTCTATCTGTGCGAGAAATAACTTCCCGTGGCTCCATCTCCACCTGAGAAACCTTCAAAAAAAAACATCTGTTCTGCTGGTTTTTACACCTCCACTTGGCCTTTGACTCCCAGGCGTCCACACTACCCGCTCGCAAAATCAACAGACAGGATGAGCGGATAAAAAAAAAAGAGAGAGAGAGATAAAATGAGAAGAGGGGAACTGTCGAGGATACATTTTTTTCAGACTTCAAAAGCAATCTGGAGAGAATTTTCTGGCCTTTGCCCCCCGACTGTGGACCTGTGTGCGGAGAGGACGAGACCCCAGAGGAGGGGGGTTATTACTGGAGGAGACCAGGCGTGAACAAGCACAAGCACACACACACACACACACACACACGCTTAGTTCTGTTATAAATCCCAATCTGGCCACTTATGCAGAGCCACTGTAGCATGCCGGTGTGTAGCATGTTTCCACAAAGGAGAGCAGGTGCAAAAAGCTTTATGTGTGTGTGTGTGTGTGTGTGTGTGTGTGTGTGTGTGTGTGTGTGTGTGTGTGTGTGTGTGTGTGTGTGTGTGTGTGTGTGTGTGTGTGTGTGTGTGTGGACACAGCATTAAGGCTTTCGGCTTCTACTGTACTGTGCACACACACAATCACACAGTGGTGATGATTGGGCTCTTGTCATGCTCTGTAAGTTTGCTGTAGGTGAGGATCTCCTGTCAATCACAGAAGGGATAGAGGCCAGCCAAGGGTAGAGAGGAGAGAGGTTAGAAAGAGAGAGGGGGGGGGGGGGAGTGTTGGGTCGTGGTCTGCTTACCTGAAGTCATCAATCTGCACCAGAAATCGAACAATGTCAAAATGTCCTTTCAGCACCTGCAGCTCAGTGAACCAGTTTTTGGGCTGTTCCTCTCCGATGCACAACACGGGGCTTTTCTGCAAGACACGGGGGGGGGGGGGGGGGGTGGGAGAGGAGAGAGACAAACAGGCTGAGCTGACAGTGGGGACTAAGAGTGTTTAGGTATTTTCCATTTTCTACTACTTTACACCCTCTGAAGTACAACATTTCAGAGGGAATAATGTCCTTTTTACGGCACTGTATTTATACAACTGTGAAGCGGAGGTCGTCAAGATGACCCCAGCTTTAAAACTTCTGGCTCACATCAAACAATGTCGACGACTGTTTGGACACCATGGCAGCAAAAACAGAAGTCCGGATCCCGACAATGAGTCACTTCTTGTATTTTAATGAGGACCAAACTGCAAGCAAACTCCCTCACACTGTCAAAATTGCAACAAAAAAAAATACATCGGCATTGTTTGGTACTGAAGCCGACATATTTGTGTATTTTAGACGTTGCTGTCTCTCTTTCTCTTGCTGCAACTTTTGCTTTATAAAGATTACTTTTTTTTTGTCTTTAAAGCTTTTCAATAGATCATTAAAACATCGGCAGTTGTTGCTTCAAAAAGTATCAAAAGATCTCACAACCTCTCTGTGAAGGTCTCTTTCAAATAAAGCTTTTACTTCAGAACAATATTATAAGCTTGGTCAGACTTTAAAAAAACAATGAACTACTTCTAGTTTCTCTGATGTAAGGATTTGCAGCTTTCTTTGTGAAATGTGACAGAAAATTAAGAATATTTTTTGTTTGGGACTGTTGGTTGGACAGCAGGAGGAATTCTGGCGCAGGCTGTAGACCTCCGGGTAGTCGGCCCGGGTTCAAATCCGACCTGTGGCTCCTTTCCCGCATGTCACCCCCCACTCTCTCTCTCTCGCTCTGATTCCTGACTACCTACTGTCCTATCTCTAGGATAAATGCCCAAAATGACCCCCTGCCCAGAAAAGAAGCAGTAATTCAAAGACTTCACTTTGTGCTCTGGGAAACAGTTGTGAACTTTCCCACGTTTTGATTTCATACACTAAACCATTAATCAGCAGCTGAATCCATAATGAACACATTGTTATTGCAGCTCTAACAAGCTTATTAAATACAACGCATTGTTTAAGATTAGAGAGTCCAAAAATGTTGCAATTTAAAAAAAAAAAAAAAACAGCGTGACTATTTATCTTCCCCGTCTGCCTCTCTTCAGAAGTCTTCAGGTTCAAGACATGTTTCCCCTCCCCTCCCATGCCCCTCCCCATGCCCCTGCCCCCTCCCTTAAACTTCACAGAACATTTTGATTTTTAATGCACAAGGAAGCCGGAGTCCATTCGACCTCCCTTTCTTGAATAGACACTCCCATAAACAAATTTTTTTTTAAATGGCGGACATGTGCAAAAGTTTAGCTCTAGGCTGAGGGTGGAGTCCATTGGTGGAGACACCAGAATCCCACTGTGACATCACAAGGAGAGCAAATTTGAAACGGTGCATTTTTGCTCTGTGTTTTAAGACTTATGCAGACCACAAACGAAGAACTGGATGGGTTTATTTCACATTTTTGTGGGTCAGAAGACCCTCAGGTTACCCAAACATATGTTCAGAAACACTGTGGAAGTGGATTTTTCATGATGTGTCCCCTTTAAAGTGACTGCAGGTTTAATGGATGTGTACAGAAGTAGCCTGAGCACTCATGAAACGTTGATTCATCATGTAAATAAAGAGTGAAACGCAGGTAAGTAAAGCACTCTCACATGAGTATAAAGATGAGGTCTGAATGAATCTTACCTCAACTGAACCCTGAGCCTCTCGACCCCCAAGAATCCACCGGAACATGACGTCGTTTTTATTCAGCGAGATACGTTTAAATAGAAGAATGAAGCCACTTTACATTTTATCTTCCTATGTGTCAGAAACAAAGCTTAGCATGTACCTGAGCAAACATAAACTGTAACAAACAAGCTCGCGTTACAGGCGCAGACACGTAAACATGTAAACAAACAGTCACCTGAATCTCTTCCGCTTTAACGCGTTTATCGTCTTTGTAAGATTGTTTCGCGATTTTCTTTTTTTTTAATTAGGCGAATAATTTATACAAGACTGAGACATGTACGGTTACGAACACATCGTTTTGTTGGCTAGCTACATGATATTAAAAAAAAAAGGTGCGTTTGAGTCAGGAGGATCACAACAAACCATTCATGTGACTCAAACTACGGAAGCCTCGGTTGGACATAATTCATTCAGGCCGACACGCGTGGGAACGTGAGTACAAACAACTGTAGACAACAAACAATTTGTTTTAATGGTTCAGTTTGAAGGAAACTCGACTTTTAGGTGTGTTATTGTATCTAGTAATCATGTTTGGCTTGGAAATTGTATTATTATTATTATTATTATTATTATTATTATTATTAAGCATCAATACATATATACTGTACATTCTATATATTTTATTATACTAGTCTATATTATATAACATTTCATTATATTACACTATATTGTTCATATTGCACTATATTACATTATATTATATTATATAACTGAACTCTGCATTACTGTGGTACAACACTGCCTCTCTTCTCTGCTGTTTACATTACTTGCTGCTATTTTATCATACTAAGTCACTTTAATCATCACTTGTCACTTCATCTTGTCATTCTCTGCAAATACTGTCTCAATATCCCTGCATAGTTAACTTCATCATTCATTTTGCACTCTATATACCCCCTACTTTTATTTTTATTTATCTTATCTATTCTGTTTAATGTGTATTTTGAACATTACTTGTCTGTGTTGCTGCAACACCTGAATTTCCCCTCTGGGGATCAATAAAGTATTATCCTATCCTATCCTATCCTAAATCCTCATCAGACGTATTTTAAAATGTTCAAAAATAGCCTTCGTTCAACTAACATAAGAGTAAACACTAACATAGGTAAAACATCCTTTACCTTAGCCTACTGCATGTGCTGCTCCCACCTGGAACACAAACATACAAAATACATTAAAAGTATTTTATTTATTTTTTAACATGGGTCAATATAAAAAACTTGATTACATATTGCTGCTCAAAAGTGAAACTATTTTTAACAGTATTTTCGCCTTCTCTGCTTGCTTATTTTGTTCTTATTTAAAACTGTATTTATTTTTTCTTTGTTTGTTTTTATTGTTCTTTCGACATTGTGTAAAATTAGGGCTTTAGTAATGTCCAAAAGACATTTAGTCAGATGTGTAGCCTCCAGGATTTACACACAAATGTATCACAGTGAGAGAAAAAACAAGCCCCACATGAGCTTATATTGAATATTGGACAATGATAGAAAGATTTTAAGTGAGTTTGTTCAGCAAATCAATATGGAAAAAATGTATCTCTGTGTCAAACTCTACACAAACACCAATGTGCACAGTGAAGCTTAAACATCCAAATACAGTGTCAACAAACTAAACCATATTTTAATTTTTGATGGGAGGAGGGAATTTATTTTAAAATCACAGAGTCATAGTGCATACATATAGCACTATGTATCCTGTGTTTAAATAGTGTCATACTCCTTATTTCAGCTAGATGGCAGTGTGTAACAATCCCATGAGATCAGAGGAAAGTTCAAACCTTCATTAGTCTGGAGATAACAAGTAGGTTCACAAATGTCTCCTCCTCATTTACATGATTGGGAGTACAATTCTTGAAAGATGAATTGTCATTTTAATGTATTTTCTCTTCTACTTCCAACCCTCTCTGAACTAGCCTATATTTTTCTTATTTCCCCTTATGTCTCACTTCCTTCTTTTGACTTCTACTTTCATTTTTTGCTTCCATATTTTCCCCCTGTTTCTTATTCTCCTCTTCTCAGTGTCTCCCTTGTTAACACACACAGATACACACACAGTCACACATCACCCTAGCTGTGTCTACTGCTGCTCCTCCGATTGAGACGACACGCAGTGTAGGGCCTGTGACCTTCATGGTGGCTCAGATCTGCGGCTGGCACTGATTTCTGATTTAGTGTCGATCCGCCGCGCTTGTCAGGGGCTGCGAGGTGCTTTCCATGCGGTAATAGAAAAGCTCAAGGGCAGCTGAAGAGAGGAGGAGGGTTAGGGAGAGGGATTGGTTGAGGTGCAGTGAATGGGTTTTAGATTTGGCGATGGGTGATGCTCTGTTTGTTTAACTATGTGTCAGACAGCTGAATGAATGGGTCAAACACGTACACAGAGGAGAAGTGCTTTGAAACAGTTGGCTGTATAAATATTTAAAAGATGTAAAAGCATGTGATAGAAAAGCAAAGACTGCCAGTGAGGCTGTAAGCACAGTGCAATACTAACACCAGCATGCTATTTATGTGGCTAACATGCTTATTCTAATAGGGTAAATTGTGCAGAGTCATTGATTTAGTTTTGTGTGTATAAGTATTCTAACATTTAGCATATATTAGCACTAAACACACTCAAATGCTAATGGGAATGTAATGTGTTTGTCAGGTTCTTGTGTGTAAACAAACATATGGAAAAGATAAAACGTGGACCTGATTATTGCTTTAGACGTAAAGTAGAAGATCAGCAAAAAAAACTATGATTCATCCTCTGGATAATATAAGTATTTGTACCAATTTCACAACCCCTTGTAAGGAGAAAAG